TAAGGACCATGGTATCCCTGTTCTTAATTGGCCAGCAAACTCGCCTGACCTTAACCCCATAGAAAATCTGTGGGGTATTGTGAAGAGGAAGATGCGATACGCCAGATCCAACAATGCAGAAGAGCTGAAGGCCACTGTCAGAGCAACCTGGGCTCTCATGACACCTGAGCAGTGCCACAGACTGATCGACTCCGTGCCACACCGCATTGCTGCAGTAATTCAGGCAAAAGGAGCCCCAACTAAGTATTGAGTGCTGTACATGCTCATACTTTTCATGTTCATACTTTTCAGTTGGCCAGCATTTCAAGAAATTCTTTTTTGTATCGGTCGTAAGTAGTATTCTAATTTTCTAGTATAGTAAATTTGGGATTTTCATTAGTATTCAGGTATAATCATCAAAATTAAGAGAAATTAACATTTGAAATATATCAGTCTGTGTCAAATCAATGAATATAATATACACGTTTCCCTTTTTGAATGGAATTACTGAAATAAATAAACTTTTTCATGATAATCTAATGATATGACCAGCACCTGTATGTGATATATTACATTGCTCACTTCTGTTACACACAGTATATGTCAGTGTAACAGTACACAGCAGTTGTAGGATCCACCAGCTATAACCAACTTTGAGACAGAGAAAGAGCAAGTTTCTTCCATTCACAATCCCAGTCTACTGTGATCGATGGAGCAGAGACACCAAGCTAAATGGTAAATGGTCGTATATAGCACTTTTCTGCCTTAGTGCTTCTCAAAGTGCTTTACAATGTGTTTCCCATTCACCCACGTACACATTCATACACCAATGGTGACAGAGCTGCCATGCAAGGTGCTGCCTGGGAACAACTTCAGGTTCAGTGTCTTGCTCAAGGACACTTCGACTGTGGAGGAGGATCAAACCACCAACCTTGTGATTAGAGGACTACCGCTCTACCACCTGAGCCACAGCTGCCTTTCCAAGGCACCACACCAGATGTGCAACCTTAAAGGAAGCTACCTTCAGGATGATGTAAAGTTTGTGTTATCAGGAGGAACCACAAGAAGGCAGATTCCACAACATGCACCTCCAGACAAGAAGACACCAGCAATGTGGATTGGGCCCAGTTTAACCAAGTAACTGGCTCAAATCCCCTGGTTCCTGTCAGGCCTACAAAGGACAAAACGACTGCCAGAAACACCGACTTCTGAGGGGGTCGAAATCTTGAGAACAACTTCAAAAGGATCTCACCCCCACCGGAACACCAAACTCACATTCATACAAAGAAAGACAATTATTCTACTGTCCTGGTCGTGACCATTATCATGTGTGCTCAGTTAAAGGAACTGCTGCACATTGATTTCAATAACCTGATTATGATCAATCACACCATGTGCTCTCCTTAAATCTTTTGTTTGACTTGTTTAGGTGTCCAATTAGAAGTTTAACAATGTCTGACTTCATACATGTGTTCAGTCTTGTGTTGATCATCTCTCTACCAGGAGTAGAATGAAATGATGGGTCACAATATTGGATTGTTTAGAAACCAGAAAACTAATATAACTGATCTGGCAGTGTAACTCTGTGAGGAACATCTGGATGTCAGCCGTCCCTGACGGAGGCTGAGCCAGACCCCCTCCCCAGTTAATGACAAGCAAAAGTCTTCTTTGAAAGACCAAACCTGAAAGCATCACTTAGAGTCCTCTTTCCTACAAGACCTTCTAAGAGTCTTCCTCAAGTTCAAGACCTACTCGAAGGCTGCACTCTGTCTACCGCTGCTCCGACCTGCATCCACAGGCCGACCCTACCGTCCATCAGCAGAACCACAGCTGCAGCATCACGACGTGCGTGCAAGTAACTTTCAGCCACTGAACACTGGGTGCAACTCCATAAATACTTATTTAATCCAAAGAGTAAATTCCTCCAAGTTTCCAAACTAGCCTTCCATTACATTAAGGGCTGCTGTCAGGTGTGGTCTACTCATCCCTTCCTCTCAGAACACCACATAACACTGTAATATAGTGTAATTACGTAGTAATATTGTGTTTTCTTCCTTCCTTTTTCCTTCGCTCACATTCACAGTGTTGTTGGTTTTGTGCTGTTGTCTTAATGTGTTATTGTTGCATCATAGTTAGTTGTTGTTATCAAGTTGTTAGTTCGATAGATGTTGTTAGTTTAATAAACGTGCTTAAATATAAATCCAGAGGTTTTGTTGTCCACATTTCAGTCCCTAACTTGTATAGATTCCAGTTACCTAGCTTTTATAAATAACTTTAAGCTTACGTAATTCCCCTGATCAGTCCTGAAGCTCTTCTTGACAGCACAACAAGAGGTGCTTCATATGCTGCATTCTTACACTAATGTGATCTGAGTACTTTCCTGGCCGAATATCAGTTAGATTGTGTAATAACACCGCATAAGCATTCAAGCCCCCTTTGAGCAAACATTTTCCCTGCACAGTACTAAGATGAATGTTGAAATCAGAGGTTTATTGTCTGTATGCTATGATGAAAGTTTGTGTGTGGGAAAGGGGTTTTGCATACTGTTGTCAGAGATATCCAGACTTCTGATAGCTGTAGCTTCAGAGATGTGCTCCTGTATCACCTGGGCCCCTGCTGAACGTAGCTACACACACAGACATATGCCACAGTGAAGTTGTACTTTGGCTTTGGTTACCTATCACCACAAATAAAACAAAGGTACTTTTTCTGCACGTGAGTGTGTAATGTACCTCGCAGCTACTGAGGTCTAACTCCAGCCCAAAGAGACGAGTGTTGGTGGCCAAACCCTGTAGTAACAACCTAGTCACAAAACACATCAATACATTCTGTAAGTCTACACATGTTATAGCAAAGCTGCTATGTTACCGTTCACCCCATTGCCAGGCTGAATCACAGAATTTCAGTTGATGACATTTTGTAGAAGTGTTTACACAGTGTGATGTAAATGTGGAGAGATAATGCTGCTCTGAATGCAGGAGAAAAAAAATGCAGAAGTCATTAATTGGCTTACAGGCAATTAAGTTATGTGAGCTCGTAGCCCTTCAACAATATGACTATCACAGTCATTACAATCACTACTGTGAGGATAACTTTGGATTTTCAGGTTCCAAAATCAAGCAAAATAGCAGAAAGCAAGCTGTAATTGTTTTGAAACCCCTCAATACTCCTATTAAGTCTATGTCTGCAGTGGTGTGTGGAATAACAGAGTAGAAGTTAGGGAATTACCTTCACATATATTAAAGTTCTGTTGAGTATTATCGTTACATATTTAGAAGTTCATTCACATTTCAGCCCACACATAATCAGATTATTTGAGCCACTTGTCAAGTATTGCAGATTTTGGTTCAATGATATAATAAAAAAATAACAGTAAAAATATCAGGCTTTTATCTTTATATTGTACCTGAGATAAAGTCATTCAAACATAGCCCTAAATTTATGTCATGAAGCACAACCAACCAATTTAGCAAGTCAACAAACATGAAAAGTAACAGACAAAGCAGTGTGTATATATTGGGGAAGGTTATTTCCATGGACAAATGTTTTGAATGGGTCACAATTGGAGCATGGATTAGTGGTCGTTAGTGCTGGCACAGGAAACAGCGCCACGGCTCCACGACACTGTACAAATGGCAAAAGAAATGGTTGTATAGAAACAATGTCTAAAAGCTAACTGTGTTCTGATTCTGATGAATTAATGCAAAGATAGACAGTGCCATTATAATACAGCCCCCCAGATATAAAATGTAGCTTTCTCACATTTGGTAAATGATTTTCACTCTGTACAGAAACAACAACAACAACAACAACAACAACAATCAAGATAATAATAATAATAACAGAAAATATGCAGTTTAATATCAGTTGGCCTTCAACTCATGATCCCTTCACCGGCCCAGTCCTAAGCTTCATACTGATTTAAGCTTGTGAGTAACCTTAATTTAGGAATATTTTGTCAAACTGTAATTCCCATGGTCAATATTGAACTTTTATTAAATACAGAAATGTGATACACTGAATTTAACAGTTGAATGTTATTTGGTTTGTAGTGAGATGACACACCTGAGAGCTTGTGGAGGCAGCTTGGTGGCAGATAGACTCACATACTTTAGCTCACAACTCTGACTGAAGAACTCTTGAATGCTCCGGGTCACCTCCCGCACCTTCCTAAACACACACGCACACACACACACGCACACACACGCACACACACATCATTACATCACATTATCCTTATTGCGATTATACAGTCCAATCCTAGAATTTGTATATCTCAGAAGAAAAGCCCTACTGTAACCAATGATGTTTATGATTCTTATCATTCATACTGGTGTACCTGTGATGTGGCATCGTGCATGCAGACACACTACCTTTTCTTCACATCTGTTCTTAGTGGTGCAATATAATCCCTGCTGCCATAGTGTGTATGTGGGCAGTGATCACCAGAGAATCCACATAATGAACTATATGTTATCAAATGTGTCCACCTTTGTGTGTTTTCCCTTATTTTTGATTGTCTTAAATAAGTAAATTGTAATTAAATTTGCCTGTGTCTCATAAGCCCCTATCTTGTGTCCTTTTCTTTTGGTTGCTAGTTAGTCCTGCCTACATCCTGTTTACTTGTTTGCTACCTGTGTTTCCTGCATCCATTCAGATCCCTATATCTTTATCATTTTTTGATGCTGCTGCGTTGGATTTGATTTCTTTAGTTAATTACTTTGCCTGGGTTAATTCCTCCATCTCCAGCTGCTCTTTGTTTTTTGCCCTCCCAGCCGTTGTTGTGTAGCAATATTTATTCAAGGTACTGTTCTTTATTTCACCTGCATGTTTGCTGTGTGTCTGCATTTGGGTCTTACCTTTGGAATAAACTCAACAACTGGAGAACCATAACTGTCTCTGTTTTTTTTAAAAAGAGCACATTGTCAGCAGAGTACAGCCCTGATCCGTTCTCGGTTGGAGCAGGATATCTCAAAAATCCAGACCAAGCCCATGCCTCATGTTATGGAAATAATTTGCTATGAACAGTAAAATGTTTGATTTTTGAATACATTTTCTATTGATCGATACATTGTAAGTGATAATGAATATCCTGTGTAGCTGCAGATCATTAACAGGGATCCTGTCACCAGATGAATGAGACTTTAGTGTGTCTTATTTCCCTGTTGCTGAGGTCATCAACCCTGTTCCCCTACAGCTGTCAAGCAAATTTAAAGTGAACTTCTGAAACATGAAAATAGAAGCAAGTGTGAGTCAGGCTAGTCCCATTAAATAAACTGGGCTGTGTTGGATCAACAGAAGGTGGCGCTACTGGCTGCAATAAACAGAGCAGGAGAAACCAGAAACCATCTCAGGCTTGGTTTACACGTAGCAAAAACGATGATATTTCAATGCATTTGAGCCTTTGGTTTACACGTGAACGAAGCTACAAGTCACTGAAAATGATCATTTCTGAAAACTTTTTGATTTTTGATTTTGAAAAACTGTCTTTACGTTTGCATGTAGACAGGAGGAGACGGAGTTTGACGTCACAGTATGCAGCAAAAGTGTCATCAGTGTCATATGTGTGCGACCATGTTTACAGTTTGGCTACTGTGATAGAAATGGATGCTGTTAAAGCAGTGCTTGTTTTTACATTTGTGCAAACGCTTTTGGCCTGTTTGTATTCATTCAGAAATGTTCTATTATGTGGAGGAGCTTCTCTGTTGGTCCAAACAAACGACCCTCACACCATTGTTGTTGAAGTAACAGGATGTAATTTGTGCCGTTCCTAGTTGTGTTTTTTTCAGGATTCTGATTGGCTAGCATAGCTTTATGCTTGTCGTTACACTGCCCCCTGTAGGTTTGGTAGCTCATAGCAGCTCTTCACAACATATTTAAGCGGGTTTGTGTAAACGAAGACTTTTTTGAAAACCATCCCCTGGGTTAGGGTTATGTGTAAACATGGCCTCAGAGGGCTGAACTATGAAGCAGGATTACTGAGAGGTATGTTGAGCCTGAAGCAAAAGGTTTATTGTCACAAAAATAGCTCTCTTTTAACCTGCTAGATCTCCATGGTAACTGATGCTGTGGAGCTAGCCTGGTCCGGAGTAGGTTTTGTTCAGAGATTTTTTTATTTAAATCGGCTGGAGGAAGTGTCTTCCTTTAACTAAATCATTTCCTGATGATTCTTTATGAGCGATACAGATTCTCAGCTGAGACGTTTTACCTGTAAACCTGATGATCTCTATGTTATTAATATCTCTAAATGGAGCCGTGTATACACTGTATGCATCACGTTGTCATGGGAACCTACATGAAAGTTGGTGATGCACAAAACGCAAACGAAATGCTTTCGTGTTTAGTCCTGATTTGCTGCCTGGTCTGTTTACGCTGCAAGTGCTGCACCTGACAGAACACGGATTAGAAAATGGAATAGAATATTCTACTGGTATTTATGACAGAGAATATTCAATCAGTAACATTAATTTCACTTTGATTAGGTGTCTGTCTCAGTTTGTCTGCCCAGTCATAAGATGCTTCTTAAAATCAGAAGTAAGTTGAATAAATGTTTGTGTGTTATTACCAAACCTCTGACCTTGACTAAGTTCAGATGCAGACCTTTGAGTAATAAGGCCAAGAGGACTGATAATACTGTGTATATAATAGTGTTCATATTTTCTTTGTTTCTGTTCTTTGTATATTGTTGTAGTTAACAGTCAGCTTTATAGTTCAGTGAGACAACATTGTTCATATGTGACACGTTTCAGCAAATTGTGGACTTGTTTCTATCTCGTCGCCTGTGAAGAGTCCTAATGTGGCTGTTGTGTGGGCTTAGAGTGCCCTCTAATGGCTATTTGCTGTATTGTATATTTAAACCATTAACCATTGTTTCTTAATTATTTCATGTTTATGTTAATACTCAATACTGTCAATGCTATAACCACAGACATAAACATTCACACTCTTAGAACCAGAAACATGAAGTCAGTGGAGTGTTTCTATCCATGACCTCCAGCGGCAGTGACTGAGGAGGATTCAGTTTACCCTGAACCAGCACAGCACTCGACAGCAGCAAGCACAAATGTGTCATGTTTGGCACCTATCCTACCTATTTATTTTTTTTATCTTGCTGCATTTGAGTTTATGTCTGTTTTAATCAGTTCCACTTTTTCTTTTTGGTTTTTCAGAAGTGTGGCAATGTGATTTTGATGTCTGGTTGGGGTTGTGCTATTGGTGTGCAAATTTAAGAGCTTAACATGTCACAAATTAGTCAATAAAGTGTCCCTCAAATGACAAAGGTTTAAACATTATATATGTACGTACATACATATATTATATACATGTATGTTTTGAGAGAAGCAAACAAGTTCTAATATACTGATGCTTAAGATGTTGCTGGCAAAATGAATCGGTAGAATGAGTCGTAGTTGTTGGTTGCTGTGTCTGCACAAGTAAAATAAAGCAATTACACTAAAGAGGTTAAATAAGGAAAAAATATGGAATAGAGAAAATGTTTTTGATGAGTTTATATTTACATACTTACACTACAAAAGCATTGTACTGATGAAAATACATATGCGTAGAAGTAAGGAGCCTGTGTCTCAGCAATGAAGAAAGGATGTCAAGCTGACAGGGCTTTCATCTTAAAATAACGAAAGGCCACTGACTCTGGAATAGTGGAGCTAACCTGTGGCTGAAAGGATTCCTGGCCAAATTCAGGTGCACCAGTTTGTAACAACACCCAGCAGACAGGGACACGAATAACTGCAAGACAAGGTCAGAATGAGGAAGTGTTACATAAAGTATTACAAGTCGAGAAGTTCGATACAAAAGCAACAACAGTCTCAGCCGGTTCTCTACCCCATTAATATTTTTAGCACGCTTTTACCAACATGCATCTATAGTGGTTATTAAGATAATAAATAATTAGACATTTTTCAACATATTTAAGAAAGTCTTTTTCTCAGACTGTTTTTACCAAGGCTCCACATTATAGAACATTACATACCCTGGGTATAAAAATCAGCACACTCAGGGCCATACATGGATTAGGGATTACTGCGTTATTGTGTTTCAGAACAGAAGCAAACAGAATAAGTCGTTGACTGGAATGATGTTTTTTTTTTTGCAAAAATGTTTGTTTTGTGTTTTTGTGTAGATGTTGTAACATAGAAGCAATATATTATAACTTTAGAAACACAATAATAATAATAATCATCATCATCATCATCATCTTCATAATTACTACTAATACTAATTACACTAGAAAGCAAAATAAAATATATAAGTCATGAAATTATGAGATTTTAAAATACAGGTAAAAGACAATTTACTGTTACAAAAGTTTAAGTGGTGTGACATTATAGAAGCATTTTTTACAGATCTAAAAAAAAAAAACAAAAACAAAAAACAGTTCTGCTTTTATTTGAACAACTGTGGCAATAGTTAATGCTAATACATGTAAAAGAGGGCTGGGCTCAGGGGACGCCACCATTTATCAGATGCAAATCCCATGCAGGGGCCCAGGGGGCCACCCACTCCTGACCTGGAGAGGTAGTGACAAAAAATTGTAGCGTGGTGCTCTTTCAAGGTCCTTTAACTGGTATGAAACTGGAAGACACAAGCTAAGCATTGGATAAGAAAATATACACCCCCATCAAATTGCTTGTCATGAATCACCTTCCAGGAACTGCACCACCTCTAAGTGAAACAGCAGAATATTTGCTCCTATGTAAAATAAAGACTAACTAGATTTTGGCACTGGGAGCCATCTTGCCAGCCAGTATTTTGGCATATCCACAGGCATTCTATGATTGTCATGTTCCTGAACGCCTTTTGTACTTGAGCAATCTCATATCATCACACTCCCACTTCAGTGCTTATCTGTCAGGACTGTGCATGCACCGGCAGGTTCACATCAGACATGCTGGACTCCATCTGAACCAAATGAATTTATCTTGGTCTCATCTGATCAAAGAATGTTCTCCAACCATTCATCATGCTTCGTTCCCTTCTGTTTAAAAGAAAAAGTAAACAAAGTTCAATCCACTAATTTTGTGCTTCAGTGCAAACAAGGTTTTTTTTTTTTCTTGGAGGCTGTCTGTAGAGGTTGATGTTATAAACTGTCCTTCACACTGTCACAGAAGCTCTGAACAGTACTGATTTACCCCTGTGCCAGGCCTGAAGCACTTGCCTGTCTGTTTTTAGAGCTAGATTGTTCAAGTAATGCACTGACCATGGTGTCATTTTAGGAGAAGTGTGTCTGTGATTAGAGGTGCTACAGCTCATTCTATACCTCCTGCACGTTTGTTGTACTGAGTTTCAACTTTGGGGTTTTCAGAAATCATTTCCGTCCCAACACATCTAACATCCCATATCCAGTGACCACACTACAGGGCAGGTGCGTGGTTATGTAAACAGGAAGCAGACTGGTTACTAAGTTGTAGAGTCACATCATAAGGGCGTAACTAAACAGGGGAGGACATATTGTGACCCAGTCAGGAGGTGAATGTGGTGACTGTGTCGTCATTTCCAAAAGCCTCCAAGTATACATAGTACAAACAGAGCTTCTGAAAATCTTCAGGAGTTTTCTAAAATATCCATGTTCAGTGACCTAAACCTACATTTGCATGTGGATGAACGACCACAATGCATACAGAAGCTACAAGCTACATTAAAAAAATACCCATGTGTGTATAAGGCCTAAGTAGCTCTTTTTACGAGACCACAGCTGCAAAATTGTTGAATTGCTTGTCCATTGTCTAAGCTATTTGGTAGCATCAATAATATGGCTGGATATAAAACTTACTGCTTCAAATACAACAAATAACCACAGACTGTATGCCAGTAATGTGACATTTCTAATTACAAGCTTATTTTACTGTTGTTACTATTTTGTTACAGCTGTAGCAGTTCTCAGCTGCCCTTCATATGCACTTCAAGATAGTCAATGAAGGAGACAGGAGAAAAAGCTTTAATCCCCGAGGATCTGTAAGCCAAATCTTCTGTAAGAAGAGTTCATCTGCAAAACAATGTTGAAAAGAAAACACACCGCACTACGTGAATCCTGCAATGTAACGCGTACTAGACAGCTGGGATCCCATCAGATTGTTATGAGCACTTAGAAAGGAAGCATAAAGAAAGCTAAACTGTGACTCCAGCAAAGCTAATTTTAGCGATCTCTACCAAAACTCTTCAGAAACCTGGTCACACCTCATTTAAAGAGATTTTGTGAATATTTGCTAGGCTATACATATTAGCTACCATTTATAGAAATATGCTCTATGTTTCAAAAGTATCAGAAGTGCAGCAGTTTATAAAGTGTGGCTTGCATTGTAGGACTTGGACCTGTCTGGTCCTGGTCTTGACTTAGTCACGCTGCTTTGGTCCTGGCTTAAGGGCTGTACTACGAGGCGCCACTATTAGTTAGTGAGGTATGCTGAGCTTAAAGACAGAGTTTTCAGTGTCAGGAAGACAGTTCTTTCATTATCTGGCTTCGTGTAACCGAACAACTGCAGTCCGATAAGTGGTCTTATGAAGCTGGTTATCAACGTAATAAGTCGACTCAGGGTTTCACAACCTGGATATGAGTGAGTTCACATGAAGAGGCTGAACTGGCAACAGATGACCAATCACTAACATGTACAGGTCTACTGGCACCAGACTGACATATGAAACAAATGAAGAGCAATTTATAATATCAGAGAGATATAAAGTAAACTCCTTATGTAAACTCATCATACAGACTGAAAGTAACACAGCTAAAGCAGGATAAACTGCAAACAATTGTAGACTGTGTGCATGTTAACATATTAACCAAATTATTAGCGCAGAAGTAGATCTGACTATAATTACAACTGTATATTCTATTAAACGAACATGTAGCTTAGCTGTATTCTTTTGGCTTGTAGGACAGTGTTATTGCTTCAGCTGCAACCCTGCAGTTTAAACGCTCTGAGAGCGAGTAACAATCTGACATAAAACTGTAATTCAAACACTAAGTAGACTGATGCTCATATGGTATAGAACACTACAAGACAGAGAGTGTAACTTGATATATTATACATAAAAAGAACAAACTATAATCCTAACCAGTGGAAGAAGTATAAAATATAATACAGACTAAAAGCAACACAGATGCTGCACCCAAAGTCACAAAGGAAAGCTGAAAAAAAAAACACACAGACTATGTGAAAGCATCATGAATATGATAAATAATATCACTGTCCCTTTGTGTATAAGTTGCTTAGATATAGGTTTCTAGAATCACTTTAATTATCACTATGCATCACAAGACTGTATAGCAAAATTACAGATGCTGTCATTTAATGCCACCCACAAAAAGACAAATTATTTAATCATGCATGATCAAGTAATAAAAGTAAAAGTATTTTCATGGTAATTTGGAGGATGAAGTCAGTAATCTCACATTAAGTTTCATTTTTTATGGCTATAAAACAGTTTACGTCTTATTCTTTCACCTACTTGGTGAAATGGTTTAAGGAGTAAGTGAAGGACAAACGTAAAAACATCATCACATATAAATAGGCTTATTGCAAATCTTTTAAGATCAACAATCAGGTTGTAAGTGTTTTAATCAGTTTGTTTTAGGATTATATTGCTCTACAAGGCAAATCAAACACTGAAATAGTTTAAAAATTCCTTGCTTGAAAAACTCATATCGTCCCCTTTTACTACGTGTGTACTGAGCTTCTAATGCTGACAGTATTTTACTGATTGGGCAGTTAGGGGAGCTTTTATAGTCACTGATCTGGAGGTTAAGAGATCATCATAAATTAATCTGTATGGTCATGTTTTTTGCCTGCAAAATGAGAACAACATCAAAAATAGCTCCAACACTGTATGCCTGCACATATGACCACAATGTTTGATTTTTATACTTCTGTTAATACAAAAAAGGCGACATGTAAATAAGACAGATTTGAATTCATATAATCAAGCATTTATTGATGTTGATAAGCTATTCTAGATTGACCCTCTCCTCTGACAGTGAGCTGGTTTTCCAAAACAGCGGAATATTTCTTATTTCAAAAGTGTAAAATTAAGATGAGTCTCTTACTGACCGTGTCCAGGGGGCAGTTGGTGTCACTGAGATCCAAATAGGAAAGAGAGTTTGGACTGGACAAGAACTTGAAGAGAAACTGAAAGACAAACAAATGCACAATCATATATGTCTTGCCAAGAAGTTAATTAAACCAACAGCTGCATATAGAGATATTAGTTGTCTTTTAGAAAAATACAAAAGTACAAATTATTGGGCAGTTACTTACACAATTACTCTTTTCAAGAAATATTTTTCAGCAACTTTTTTAGGACATTCTCTGCAACATGATGATGAAATGACTGATAGATGTTATGGATGTACTTTTATGTCTTTCTATGCGATCAGGTGAAATTGGTGTGCAATTTAAAAAATAAAAAAATTTAAGCAAAAATTGTGAGATTGTGTCCCAATTCTTTTTAAAATTGCAAATGAAACAGTGGTTAGCACTACCGCCTCACAGCTAGAACTTCCTGGGTTTAAATCCCAGCCTGGATCCTTCTCTGTGAAGTTTGCATGTTCTCCCTGTGCAGTGTGGGTTCTCTCCAGGTTCTCTGGCTTCCTCCCACCGTCCAAAAACATGCTCAAGTTAATTGGTGATTATAAGTTAGCTATGACTGTCAGAGTCCACAGTTGTCTGTCTCTCTATGTAGCTCTGTGATGGACACCCTGAGTCAGCTGGGATAGACTCCAGCTCCCTGCGACAGGATGAAGTGGTGTATAGATGATGGATTGGAACATATATGAATCCAAAAGGATTGCTTGCTATTGTGCCAAATCTGTTAGATTGGACCCACAATGATTCATCCATCCATTATCTATACACCTTAATCCTCACTAGAATCACAGGGGGCGGAGTCTATCCCAGCTGACTCAGGGTGAAGGCAGGTTCACCTGGACAGGTCACCAGTCTATTGCAGGCCGACACAGAGAGACAGACAACCAAGCACACTCACATTCACACCTACGGACAATTTACAATCACCAATTAACCTTAGCATGTTTTTGGACTGTGAGAGAACCCACACTGCAAGGAGAGAACATGGAGACTCCACGCAGAAAGATCCCAGGTGTCCTAACCGCAAACCGGGGATCTTCAAGCTGTGAGGCGACGGTGCTAACCACTGAGCCACCATGCAGCCCCACAATGAAACATATAAGACACTAACCCAGTGTCCATTAGACTGACAGTTTGGAATTACCCAAACTTAGTATTTGAGAGAGGGAGTCCTCTGGGAAGATGGATCATCCATCTTTCATATCTAGTCTATGCTTTGCACTGTCACCTAAAGAGAAGTGGGAAAAGTCTTTACTTCAAGTGAGTACCATTTTGTTTTTGATCATTTGTTTCACCACACCTACTTTCCCTTCATTTTTGTCTTCTGAGTAGTTTTTTCAAAAGCGTTAAATACTTGTGTTCAGCACTGTCAGCAGCCTATGACTGCATTAAAGTGGTCATCAAGCCATTGCTGGCCAACTGGGATTTATCACAAACCTCTCAGTTCCATTTCTGGATGTGCATCATGTAAATTCTTTGAATGTAAAATCCTCTGTTCTCAATCCACATCTATTGACATGAAAGATAAACACAGAACAGAGCTTACCATGGCTTCTTCAGTAACCAGGCTGCCAGGGTTACAGGACAGATCAAGGTGGGTCAGAGATGCTGCAAACACCTGATTGGAAGACAACACCTGACTCAGATGGCCAAGACCTGGGAACAAATCAGACCATTCATAAATGATAATGTTATTGGAGGAGGAAAATTAAATGGAAAGTCAAATGTATGAAATAATGACTATAGGTTTGAAATTGATGATTGCAGGTTACAGATCACATCCTTTATTTATTTGTTCTGTTGTGGAAGAGCAGAACAGAGAGTTGCAAGACTGAGGAGGAGCTAAATAAAGTTGTATGATGTCAAAGTGCACACTTATGAGTCATGGGCATATACCATATATCAGTCACACCATTAAGACCACTGACAGATAAGGTGTATTTGATCATTACTGCAGACCAAGCACATTCCCAATGACAAGTACTCCCTGACACCAGCGACCTCCCTCAGCAGGACTATGCACCCTGCACACAGCAAAAACTGCTCAAGGAATACAAAACCCCAAGGCGTCGACTCATTGACTCTTCAAACTCTCTGGATCCCAATCTAATCAAACATGTACGGCATGCGTTAGAACAGATACAATCCACAGAGGTCAGCACCAGACCACCATCACAGAGGTCCTGTGTCTATGGCCTGACAGGTCTGAGTTGTTTTGTCAGCACAAGAGAATTTACAATATTGAATTGTGTGGCTGATTGGTGTCCCTCTCCTCCATCTTCATCTTGGTCATCCTCCTATTTTATGACACCATATTTAAAAACAGTGAGGGTAAATTAATATTTGTATTGTGTGTATCTGTGCACCTTTAGCAGTCACTGATACCCGAGACAGAGAAAGGTGCTTGAGTCCTTCATCCAGATTCTTCAACTCCTGACTGAGAGCTATTACACCTGGGAATAAAACACACAAGATGAAACACAAGACGAAATACACAAGAAAGAAATCCAGTATGTGCACTGATCCACACGCAAAAACATATTCATGTTGACCTAAAACCAATAGCTGATGTAATGAATACAACTGTCATTTCTTGTTGGATCACAATTCAGCTACTAGGAATGGTACATGCCAGGGATTAATCACTGAATTGGGACATAGGGGCTTCACTAAAGAGTGGGCAACCATGAAGGTATCTACAGAGTTTTTTTCACAGGAGACATTTTGAAAATGTCAAAGTAGGAAAATCACAGGTGGCTATAATGACATCAATGATGACTACGTTGAGTTTTGAGTTTCTGATTCTGATCTTTACTCATCTTTCGTAGCTTGGTGTTACCAAGTCCTGGTTTGTCTTGATTTATGTGTTAAATCTACTTTTTCCTATAGCTCTCGCATTAGTTAGTATTTTGTCCTGTTCCGGCTGTATATTGTCATTTACACTCACACTGGGCATTGACTTGCATCAGGTAGTGGCATAGCCATCATTAATATGGTTATTTATACTGGTTTTGCTTTTCCTAATCTGACAAGTCTGAATGTCTGCTGTGAAAAGGAATATTGTAAAATATGTGGTGACAAAGCTTGAAGCTAATAGTATTTTATTATGACAGTTGTGCCAACACCATCTGTCAGCTTTTTATTTATAGTTGTAGATAAGACAGTCTTCACGCTGTTAATCACTGTTTTGCAAACAAGTAAAGACTTTTTTCACCCCAGCTCAACAGCGAGCAACCATTTTTACTGACTTGGAAAAAAAAACTTCACTGAAGAAGACTGAGACAGCAACATTAGCCACTTGGCTGAAGATATCTTAGAATCGCTTTCTACTCTGATGCTGTGCTCATATCACTCAGAAGTGAAACTGAAAACAGCAACCTTTGTCTTCAATTGGATTGCCTGAGAGGTTGATGGATTGCAGGGTCGATGAGGTGTGCTCTTGGAGGGCAGCTGCCATTTTGACTGCAAAATCCCTGTAACAAAACAAAAAGTTACCTCTACTGCATTCAAAACCTGTTTAGCATTAACTACACTTTAAAATTGAACATTTTCTTGATCTTACTGGGGCTACCACATAGGCAAGTGGGAAACATATTTCTGATCGGTAATCTTTGCAAAACTGATCAAATCCAATTATAAATGTGACAAACAAACTCTTACTAGTTACTGTTTTGGTGGTGGCACAGAAACGGATAGCTTGTTTTTTTGTTGTTGTTTGTTTTTTCTGTGTGGTGAATTACTGCAGGCCAAGTAATCACCTACCTTTATCATCCACTTATACAAGCATCACTGTCATTTTGAAGTACATCATCAGATGTACTTCATATTTAATAAGCTTCATATATATATAACCCTCAATGATCATAGCCACCCCAGGCCCCATTTTATCACAGGTAACCTTTACCTTACATTAAAGAAGCTCCAGATGGCAGGCTGTTCACTGTCTGGATAACGGTACCGTGCACTATCAATAGATTACAATTCTTTAAAATTCAGGTGAGTCTAAATTAGAAATTAGGGAACACATGCTGAAACTGTGGGTCACTAAGCAACATCCATAATAGCGATGAGAGTTACGCATTTGTTGTGGTAAGTATTTGCTTATACGTTGTTTACTTGCTACCATGTATGTCCACATAGACACAAACTCACAGTTTCAGTCCACTGGCCTCCAGTGAGAGCTCCTGCAGGCTGGGAGATCTGGACAGCAGGAAAGTCAGCTGCTGCTGGATGTCCACTGACTGAAGGTACACAAACAGAGACAGAGACCCAAACAAATGTGTAGTCTGGCGTTTCTTCTTTACAGTTCCATACAAACTGTGGAGACTGTTGATTTTTGAAAAATGTGCAAATACATCTTATCAAGATAGTAAATCAGCTCTCTACGAATGCAGGAACTGACGAGTTTTTGCAGGCTCCTGGTGTTATAATGTGTTGGAAGCGATCCTACAAATAGACCGTCACAATTTAAGAGACAAGGTTTAGATGTTTTTGAGTGTATGTTGATAAAATGCTCTCTGCCTGTTTCAGAATCCGCATTGTTGGCCAAGTATGAAAATGCATGCAAGGAATTTTACTCGGGCGCTTGCCTCTTAAAATACGAGAAACAGGTTATGGACAGAAGTCGAGTGTTTTTATACAATTCGCTTAGCTCAACAAAAAAAGAAAAGAAAAGACTGGAGAAAACACAAAAAGGAAGCGTAAGATGTCGTGTACTCAACTTGTTGCTAATTAAGGTGTTTAGAATTTTTTCAATTAAGCAAATAATAGTAAAAGAACAAAAAGTGACCAAAGTAAGAAAATAAATGAAAAACTAAAGGTTTGGGTCATAGGACCATCCCTCACACAGCGTACACACCACGCAGTTCTGCAGACATACAGGGGACAACAGAAGTGAATAGTCTAGTGTGCCATGTCACTTAAGCGTCTAAGGATTCAAAATGATCACACCTTACTGTAACAGTCGTCGACAGTCAAAGGGTTCTTTTCTTGTTATTTAGCAAAGTTCAACCTTTTTTTTTTTCTTGTCCACCATCCATAGAGGTTAGCGCTACACAATGTCCTTCACCCTGTCTGAGCTTCACAGAAACTCTGATATTCATTAATAACCCCTGCACCATTTCTGAAGCACTTGGTCATCTGTTTTTCAGAGCAAAACTGTCTGTGGTGTCATTCTACGAGGACTCTGATCAGTGGCACTATGATTTGTGCTATACCTCCTGATCACTGCTGCAGCTGTGTTTCTAGCAATTTTAAGTTGGCCATTGGTCTTCCTGTATTCTTTTCCATCTTTGGAAAATCTCACAGTCATGTGATTCCAATTCCTCTGGCTCTTCTTGCAATAATTCCCACATGTGGAGCCATGGTGCAGATGTACACACAGACACTGAGAAGATTCTGGTGTTCACAGGTCATTTTATAAATATGCTTATTCAGTTGCACTGATTGAAAAATCACAGGTGTGCTCAATTTTGTTTCACTTCATTGGTCACAGGTGTATTCACTGTTTTTACATTGAGTTCCTGCTTTGGGTCCTGTATTTTCAAAATAGTCTTTCAGTATCATAGTCCTAAAGTACCCGTTTTTGATTCTTAGAAGAAATACTCTACTGATCTACCTACAAAAATGCAATTATTGAAACAAAACTGCCATTCCGAATAATTTGACACTTTAGTGATATTACACAAAGCTGTACTCATTTCTGTTATGTACTGCAAACAACAGCAGAAAGCAATGACAGAAGATTATAGAAGTATGGAAGTGAGACAAAAGATGGTCACACAAGCAACAAGGAAACCACAATGAAAACCACGTGTGTGTCTGCAAACACCCACACGGAACCTCTTCAGAAGTAACTTATTTGTGGACACAGTCGCCAGTTATATATTTAGGTACATCGAGCTAAAACCTGATGCACTCCAGTTGAACAAGTCTGGCAATAAATTACCCCTAGCCTGTCCTCATCGATGTCATGATGTCATGAAGGCAGAACTATTGACCTAGTCTGACCCATAAGCCTGCCTTTGGTTGATAATCTCAGCCGTCATTCCCCATTTCTTCCATTTTATTTTATGAAATGAGGTTGTGCACTATTCCCATGCAAATGTTGCTATCTCATGACAATCCAGGATTTAAAAGTCCAAACCCTTTCCTAATTGTTTCACCACAGTAGAGCACATCCAAAAAACAAAAAAGAGTGTACCAGCTTGAGTTCTTTGCAGTAGATCTTCGTGAACCACTGGTTGAAAGATAAAGCTGCTACAGCCAATGCCAAGTCCCTGAGAGGAGAGGAAAGAGGAGAGCATGTAACAGAGACAAGGTAAGATTGGATGAGACAGCACTATGAACAGATGACACAACACTATGGATGGATGACACAGCACTATGGATGGATGACACAACACTATGGATGGATGACACAGCACTATGCCTTAGCTCACCTGCTGTCTAAGTGGCTAAAGTCCTGCAGGCTGAACTGTCTCCAGTTGTGNCACTATGGATGGATGACACAGCACTATGCCTTAGCTCACCTGCTGTCTAAGTGGCTAAAGTCCTGCAGGCTGAACTGTCTCCAGTTGTGGATGTAGTAGATGTTGTCAATGTCCTGCAAATACATGCAATACTTCAGTGCAGCAGTACTAAAATTTGCATTTACACATGGCCTATTTATTGTATTTTATCTTGCCTTATCATAGCAACTTACCCACGTAATCTCCTCTCTAAACGGCATCTCATTGAAATCACACAAAGCAGCATAGGTATCGGAGAATCCTCCTGGGGAATAACATTCAAAGTCATTTTATCCAACAGCATGTTCATGAACTTCCTTGAGATGGAAGCATGTTACTCTCATGTACGCTAGGTCATCATTAAGAAAATAACGCTTCAGCTAGATGTATGGCCCAATATTCACATCACATAATGTTAATAACAGGTGATTAAAAAGCTGACGATGATCTTCAGCTTCAATACGTCAGGTTTATAAATGGTTATTTACTTGTTAACACAGTCATTGATAATCTGTCCAATCAGCATTTTACATGTGTAACACTGTCAAAGTTAAGTATCATACCGCAAGAGCCAGGCTGACAGTCCAGCTGTTGTTCTAGCACATCAGTCAGAGTGGAGAGTCTCTCCTGGAGATCAGGGGGAACTGTCTTTAACAGCTTTCTGAGGATTGAGGACAGAAGATGGAAGTGAGTACAGTGTGCAATATCACTTTAATGTCAATGATTCAACGATGTATGACCTCACCGTAGTGGCATTACTTAAAGGTTCAACAGCAGGGTATTAGCTTCTATACAAAATGAAAAACTAACAGTTTTGATTCATTGCATTTAAAAATGAAGGCTACACAGTGGGAACTCAATACACCTTTCATTATTGAGGTTCAAATCTTCACACTTCCTTCAATGCTCTGATGTTCTGCCATTCTTCACTGATAATATTTTTCAGCTGCTCTTTGCTGGAAGGAGTTGTGTTGCTCTGTCTTTCTCCTTAAAATAGCCCAGGAGGTTCTCTCGGGCTCAGTTCAGGTGACACAGTCAGGTCAGGGGGGTTTGAAATCTTTTTCCCCTCCCTTTTTTTTTTTGCTTTTTGCTGGAATAGTTCTTTTTTGCCAAGCTGCTGCAGACCTGGAGTCATCTTGTCAGTCAGCATGTTGGTGTATTTACATGCAGTCATGGTTCATCTATAAATGTCATCTTCCCAACAACTTTTGCACTCACGTAGTCCCATATCATTACACTCTCAGTCCTGTTCTTAACTGTTGGGAGTATGCATTCTCTCCAGCAGTCTTAGTTCTGTTTAATTAGGTTTAGGCACCAAAGTTACTTGACTGGTTTAATGTTATTGAGACTATTTTAGAGACAGGACTGCACTGCCATAGGGATGTCTCAATGAAGCCATGATGGATTAGCTTGAAAGTGATCAATGTCTAAATGACACAATAGTGTCACTTCAACAAACTGATGTCTGGAAAGGGCTAGACATTTTCTGGAGTCTCATACTAGAACAGGGGTGTCCAATCCTGGTCCTGGAGGGCCACAATCCTGCATGTTTTAGATGTTTCCCTCTTCCAACACACCTGATTCAAATGATCAGCTCATCATCCAGCTCTGCAGAAGCTTGATAACGATCCTGATCATTTGAATCAGGTGTGTTGGAAGAGGGAAACATCTAAAACATGCAGGATTGTGGCCCTCGAGGACCAGGATTGCCCACCCCTGTACTAGAACAACACCTTGCTAACATCGTGTTTGCTGCCCATCTGTATACTGAGTGCAAAATTACCTTTTTAATCTGACAATCAGCAAAATATTATTTGGCATACATATGATCAAAAGTGGAATACAGCATGAAAAGCATGTACAAAAAAATCTGACAATGCTTGGAGAATATGAGCCAGTAGCTTATGTGCTCCGTGGTGTGAATTCAGACATGTAGCAGGTCATGGAGTGAGACCCACCTTGGAGATGAATCAGGGAAGATTCTCTTCAGTGAGGCTGTCATGTGACTGATCATGGCCTCAAGGTCACCGGTATGCCGGACACTGAAAGACAGAGTCTGCCTGTCTGTCTCCAACATGAGCTGCAACAAATGCATGCATGTGTGACTCTTTGCACAAACATATGAACCACAGCCTGGTTTAGCTTTCATGCTATAGAACTTGAAATAGTTTTACTGAATATTGCTGTTCTTCTGTTTTAAAAATGGTTTTCAACAAATTCAAGTGTTTCATGGTCATTCTGTCTCAGTCACCTTCTGATCAACCCCTCTCTGATTTGCTTGATCAAAAACATACATATTTATAGATATATTTGTGAATTTTTAGCTGGATATATCTAATACTTGAATAATTGCCCATGAACCCACTTTCAGCACATTTTTTCTACACGTTGAAATTTGAGGCTGTTGAAGGTAAAAGCCTTAAATTGTTACTGTTATGTCTCATCATTGATTCAGAATATACAATATTGTCTTTGTGTTCCACTGGGAATAAACTTGGCCTTTAAGACCAAAGTGTGAGTATATGTAGATGTATAAGAACTGCAGAAGACTTTTAAGCATCTCTTTCAACAAATATAGAAATTCATAAAGTACAATAAGTAAGGTGACAGTTCACTTTTTTTCTCCATATTTTTAGAATAATTTTCTATGTGGATGAAGCTGTGTATTGATCTTTTTTGTTTTTGTGGTACAGTTTGTCAAACCTGTTTAATCAGTTGTTAAGGTTCATCCATCCATCCATCCATCATCTATACACGGCTTAATCCTCACTAGGGTCATGGGGGACTGGAGTCTATCCCAGCTGACTTAGAGTGAAGGCAGAGGACACCCTCGACAGGTCACCAGTACTACGCCACCTTGCAGCCGCTTATCATAAATAAATTCTTTTTTCATTTTTGTGACCAAATATTTCATATTAAAAAGTTTTCTATATGTTTGGCTTTCTGTTATTGTGACATGAAACTACATGTGGTTTAGATAATATCACTAGTTGGCTTTTGCACAATCAAATTTTTTGTTAATGTGTACTTAAAGATAGGACTTTTCATGATGTTACTAATTTTTCATCTAAACTGAGGCAGAGTTATATCTCCTTGTCCAGTAGTACAGATCCAGGCTATTAGTTTTAGTAGTTCCTGAGATATTGTCGCTCAAACAAAGCTTTAAATTTCACTGTCTGAAAATGGGTTGACAGGCAATTTTTAAATAGTTTTTTTATGGTGTAAATATTTGTTATAAGCTATTTGTATAACATATATAACATATATCAAGTAAATCAAAGATAGTGAGGCAGAAAATGTTTTAAAAATGTTAAAAATGAATATAATGACCCTTGAATCAAACATCAAAGCATTTTAGAACATAACAAGGTAACAATGCAAATTTTAAAAAATGTAGAAATGTAATAAAATTGACAGAGATGGTGTACCTGCGTGGGACTGTGCACATTGATGGAGCAAATCTCTAGGTAGCTGAATGTGCTTTCCACCTGTGTACATAGAAACAGACGTGTATCTGAGTAGACATGCACACACACAAAGAGCAAGTGAGAAAAGGGAGGCAATCCCAGTTCCTCTTATGCCCTCTAAAATGAGTCTTTAGTGATCATGGTGTTTCAAAGGTCCAGTCCCTGCACTTTTATTTTATTTGTCCAGGTTTTGGCAAATCTCTCTCTGAAATCCATGTCTGCATTCGAACACACAAAGGGTGGATGGTGTTTAGCCTGTACTGCTCTAAGCGCTGACAAATGTATTTTCCATTCAGCAGCATCCCTTTCCAGTGTCCCACTCTGGACACAACCCATAGAGCACAGTCAGAGTGGGCAGTTAATCAGGCCAAAACCAGTGACAAAAAGGAAATCTTGATATTTCAAACCACATTACACAGTGTGCCGATGGATGTTAGATTGGTTTGGTTTGAAACATAGATGTTAACATTTGAGTGGTGAGTTACCCTGACAGGTTGCTTGTTTGTAACCAGGTAACCTCTCCATAGACACAGTACCTAGAGAGACATAAGAGACACAAGGCTTTAGATATGGAACTGGCAGAGCCATAGCCACCCCCACAGGAACAAAATGCTTGTTGTATGCTTTGACATGCCATTTTGTTGAGCCCATTTTAGTACCCTTTTACAGTATGGTAACAGCAAAGTGAAATTTAATATAGTTGCTATTTTAGGCATTTGAACATGAGATCAAAACACAAAAATTAGACAAAAGTACAGACTGACTTTTAGTCCTTTCTTTTAAACTATTTATATACACATGCATTTAGCCTTTTTAACAAAGAGCTGATAGAATCTCGAGTCCCCTTTTTTCAGATGAGCAAAAGTAAGTTGATGACAGACAGGTGTAGCTCCTTCCACTGTTATTTCCTTACGAGTTAACAGATGTCAAAAGAAATAAAGGCAATAAGGTCCAATAACTGATTGCATTGCCGCATTAACAGCATTAAATATACAACTCCACAACTGTCTTCCTTCTCTGTTTCAGCAGCTAAAATGCTCAATAGGGTTTAATTGTGGCGACTGACTTGGTCAGTCTAAGACCTTCCAGTTTCTGCCACTGATGAGGCGTTGCTGCATGGGCAGTGTGTTACTGTGTCACTGTTTTGTTGGAGAATGAAAGTTCGACCAATGAGATTAGAGGAAATATGTTAGTCGGTTTACGTGCGAGCGGAAGTGATTTGGATTATGCCCACTTCATGTCTTTCTCCAAACTTTCACTTCAGTAAAGGCTCACTTTGGTCTCATCTGTCCAGAAAACTTTGCTCCAGACTCTTTCTCTCAAACCCTTTGGAAGTCTTTGGAAAATTCCATTCCAGCTATTGGATTCTTCCTGCTGATAAGAAGTTTGCATTTTACAAATTGCAGCTTGTGATACTCTCACACACATGCTCTCCAGACTGGTGCTGACCTTTGATCGTTGTTTTCATCAGCTGCAGTGGTTTTCTATTTTTTTACTTTCTTTTTCAGAACTTTATCCATTGACCTACTTGATCTATCCATTTTCTGTTCAGTAGATCTCTATGACTTCTTCATTTTCACATCTTACACACGAGTTGTTTTGTGGCCATTGTCAGTTCTTTGGGCTTCATGTTGCCTTCTGGCCTCAATTACAATCACAGCAGATGACAAAATTAGACTGAAATGAAGACAGGGCAGTCACGGTTTTATGTGTGAACAGCCATGCAAAAGGAAATAACTGGAAATGACGTACATTTATCAGCCATTCCTGCATTTACTTTGGCATCGCTGAAAAAAAGAGGATTTAGCATTGAGTCATCGTTTGTATTAAATACAATGACCTTATTTTTATTTTTATTTTTTAGATCAAATTCAAATGTCTAAAGTAGCAACAACATGAAATTTAACAGACTCTGAGTCAGCACGACATAACCATGTGGTTAGGCTATGCTACAGAAACACCTCGATGTCCAATGCAATGCAGTTGTAAATAGAGTACAACAACCTTTAAAGTAGTCCTATAGCAGCTTTAAGAAAGTCTGGGCATGTGAATGTTCATGAAGAGAGGAATTGCAGAGGACTGCTGGATGAGCCTGCATTAGTTTAGGCAACCTGTTGTATATTATCAGTGCTACTGTGTTGTACTTTGTGGTCATCTGAGTTTTTACATGTTCATTTGGCAGAGGGTCGCTCAACATGTCAGACTGGAGCATTGTGCAGGTTTTACGTTAAGACCTTGATTGTTTCTCTTGTTCATCTGATTTGCATATTCACAGAGAATATTTAACAAATAACTAAAAACAGGTGGCACACAGTGAACATGATGCTGTTGTGGACCAGTAGATCCAGAGCCCAGTTGGTACTTTTGGAAATATAGCCATGCCTCAGCCACTCAAAATAAAGACATACTGTTTACAGGACAGGCTCACAGCATAAAACTGTACAGTCCTTTGCATACTGTACATCTTTGTTTGTCTGTTCATCTGATATAAAAAGTTAGCAACAGATTATATAAGAGCATTACATGCTTTGAAAAAACAGACAGCGATGATTCTGCAGTTAAAATGTATTATCATGCTTTAAGGAAAAAACAAACAGCTGTCTCTTTTTCATACAATGAGAAAATCACTGCTGCTTTATAACTTTGGTGAATTGTGTTAGGTTGACCCAAAGTTTTTTTTCTGATTGTAGATGTAGCACTTTGACTCCACAGCTGAACCTGTGAGAACCTTAGGCAGGCTGTTGGAGACTTCTTTTTGCTCTTGGAATAAATCTGCTGGGCCAGTCAGTACTGGAAAAAGTGCTCATATGAAATCTGTGCCATTTATAGATGCTTTACCTTACAGTGGAATGATTTATTTCTAATCTTTATTAAATCCCTTGAAGGCATCGGAACGCTTCAATCTTGACATGATGACACACAATAGCAAAGACAGCAGCAAACTTTAGATGTACAGTGTCCACCTGTCATGTCTGCAGGAGGTTCTAATCTCTGGAAGCTAATCTCAGACACTCGACTCTAATTTGATGGATTTGAAATGCACCTTTCAATGTTACTTTTTTTCTATGTGACAGATTTGTAGTTATGAAAATGCTACAAATGTCAATTTTAAGTGTCAGTTATTTGACTATATCACATTTATAAGTGGATGTTTTTCAAATAAGTGAAATAACAACAACAACAACAACAACAACAATAATAATAATAATAATAACAAGAAGAAGAAGAACCTACTTTTTCACGTGACTGTATAACGTAAGCACAATCTTTATTATCCCAAGGGCGACTTTGTTTGTTACTCACCAAAAACCTGTTGGATGATCTTCCGCATGGCTGACCGGAGCGGTTCAAAATCACAGGTGTCACCAGGCAAACTCTGTGTGGTTTGAGCAGCTCTGAGATCTGATCTGCTTTACAGACACAAACAGGGGCACTATTGTTGCATTTCGAATTGCATTCTTTTCAGAATCGTCACAAGTTTGGTCAATAGGAACCGAGCGTGATTGTGTTCCACCTTTAACAATGATTATGGGTTTGTTTTCTCTGAGCATAGTCAGCTGAGGTACACTGGAAGCCTGCTGGACAGCACAACTGGGACATTGGTGGAAGATGACACATCTATGTATGAACAGTGTTCAATGGTTCTTTCTTAAATCAAAACAGGAAAGCTAGCATTCACAATAAAGGTGAAAGATCAGCTTTGCAATTAACAGAATCTCAATTGTAGTTTTGTCCTGCACCAACACTAACTGTAATAATAACTGTTACTGTAAAGACTAACTACAATGTCCATACAAATCTAATTTTGCAAGACATTGACTTTGCATGTTTTTGTGTGTTGGCCCTGTGTGTTTGGTTTCTTTGTCGAGGAGTATGACACATGCAGTTATTGTGGTGGCTCTATAAGAACAGACTGTGCCACATGTAACCACTTTATTCTGTAAATACTTAGTTGGATTGAAGTTCTACTCTGGGAGCTTTTATTATGGAGCCCTTTAAATGATGTTGCCTCTGTTAAAAGAGACTAAGGAGAAAAAGCACATTTGTGTGGAGCACAGAGTTTATCCATCCATCCATCCATTGTCTATACACCGCTTAATCCTCAGTAGGGTCGCGGGGGGACTGGAGTCTATCCCAGCTGACTCAGGGTGAAGGCAGGACAGGTCGCCAGTCTGTCAGAGGGCTACACTTAGAGACAGACAACCAAGCACACTCACATTCACACCTACGGACAATTTAGAATCACCAATTAACCTCAACATCTTTTTGGACTGTGTGGGAGGAAGCCGGAGAACCCGGAGAGAACCCACGCTGCACGGGGAGAACATGCAAACTCCACGCAGAAAGATGCCCCTACCGGGACGCGAACCGGCAACCTTCTTGCTGCGAGGCAACAGTGCTACCAACTGTGCCACCTTGCAGGCCTGCACAGAGTTTCTGAACTTCTGAATTTAAACAGCAGCACATCCATGATATGCTGATTAATTATATGGTCCAGTTCACTCCAGTTGTCTCCAGCAATGTTGTTCCAATATGCACTGAGCTTCTCAACAGAGATGCAGTATGCCCTGCATGTAAATTGTGAAATTGGAGGCAATGGCAATCCTAAACTGTCAGAAAATTCCTACTTTTGGAACATTCCATTTATTTCAGAACAGTCATCCAGTACTGGATGTTGTTTCTGTGGTTTTGGCCATTGGAAGACAAAGCAGCGAAGGTAGCCATCTTTACTGTAGCTCAAAACAGAAAGAAAACCCAGCAGAGGGCTGTACCATGAAGCCAGGTTGACACACAAGCCTTTCTTTGCGCAGTTTGACAAAACCAAAGAGATGATAAGTGATTATCAACCATCAGTGAACTCAGGTTTACTGCCTCAGAATCTGTGCTCATTCACATAAAAGAGGCCGTTTAACCTGGCATATGACCTTTCTTTGGCATGAATTGGACCAATTGTGTGCATAGACTTTAAAAGAAAGATGGACATAGCAGCTGGTCATGAAGTGAAGCCAACCCAGACGTGTCAAAAAGCTCCAAAAACCTCTGGTTCCAAACACCAATCCAAAACATGGCTGTGGGGAGTGGCTGCTTGATTGACAGTCTGGTCTGGAACAACTGACAGGTCGTATGGAGGATGCAGCCATGATGCTTATCCATTGTGAACTTCAGAAATTGAAGTATTTAGATTTAAATTGATGAACAAATGCCCAGCTGTGAGTTTAGTCAATCCATTTCACGAACCAAAACTAGCATTTTAGGGTTTTTAAACCTTCCAGGAAGCTTTTTTTTTTTTAATGTTTAATTAAAATCTAGAAGTTTCTATTCCTTTTCCAAACTCGCCATGATAGTCAGTGTTTCATTTTGTCTTTTGTGTATTTGTTATTTTAGATGTCAGTGGAAGCAGCCTGACATGTTATCACTGTACTGGTGAATGAAGGGCAGGCACCTAATACTGAGAACATTTGAAAAGAAAGCAAATCTGTTTATAATGACTGTCCACTTCAACCTAATGTCTTACGTTTATTTAACTTGTTTTCTATTTTTTAGTAAGCTTTCCTCCATTCCTTCTTTTTTCTGATTTAATTATTCAACCTTACTTTGGTTATCTTAACATACCTGGGCTGGGGAAACCCTGTGTTGCGTACAATTTTGGCTTTGAAATGGCCCATGGCATGTGTAGGAAGCAAATTAATTTATGTGTTAATATGTTATTTTTTGTTGTTGGTGTGTGGATGTGAGTGGGAGAGGGAAAGAAAGATCCTGGTGCCCCCACCGGGATGCAAACTGGCAACCTTCTTGCTGCGAGGCAACAGTGCTACAAACTGCGCCTCCCTGCAGCTCATCAAGGAACTAGGTCTTCTTAAAGACTCTTTAATTTAAAGTGTTTTCATTTTATTTTGACTTGTAATTCAACGAACAATAAATGCAATAAATGGTCAGTGGGACCGACTGAATCCACTTCTACTCATCAGGATTCATCTGCATGTGTTAAGACTAAATCCAACTCAGCCATCAGTAGTAGTCAAGCAGCAGACTAAAGGGGTTTGCTGAAACTGCCATTACAGCATGGAAAATTGATAGTCACAAATGAATGAACTACTGTGCTCGGATTGAGCTAAATATTCACACATTGTTGGAGCCACAAAGGATTCTTAAATGGTGAAGCTGCCCTTTTTAAAATACTTTGCTTGCACCCATCTTTATAGATTTAACTGGACATTTTACCAAGAATTATCAGTCATGACTTAATCTATAGAAGAATCAGCCTGTGTTTTCTGAACTCACGTCATTCAGTTCATAACATTGGTAACAAACCACAGCCTGAGTCATGTTTCCTTCTTTTTGCTCGTTGGTTTTTCTGACTGTTTCAGTGGAAACACAACGGCTCACTAAGAGCAGCGTGGTTGCCCTTTAGGAGTAAAATGCTCACAATGTGTAATGAGAAAGCTAAGCCTGACTTAGCTCTGTAGATCAGTTCAACTGATATTTGTGAAGCCAAGCTTTAGCGCAGTAAAGGGGAAATCAGTAATACAAAATGAAGCATGAATTACCATTGCACCTCAACAAACAGAACACCAGTTATAGTTTTGTCATAATTCAACTCAGAAAGTTAAACTTTCAGATATTCTACATTCAGTGAGATATTTCAAGCCTTTTCTTGTTTTATTTTTATGATTGTGGCTTTTAGCTCCTAAAAATCAGAAATCCAGTGTCTCAAATTAATACGTTTTCTAAAATCATTAAAAACAAATTTAAAAAAAAAAATCCCAGTCAAGAAATGTCCAATTTCTTTTCTTACAACTATGTTAATTTGGACACTCAGTCCTTGGTTGGACCTCCTTGACCACTAACTACTGCATCAGTGCAGCATGGCATGGAGGTGGTCACCCTGTGCCACTGCTCAGGTGTTATTGAAGCCCAGGTTGCTTTGATAGGGGTCTTCAGCTCATTTTTTGGGTCCAGTGTTTCTCATCTTCCTCTTGACAATGAACCATATGGGGTTCTATGGGATCCAGGTCAGGTGAGTCGGTCAAACAGTATTATCATGGTCAGAAAACCATTTGGTATTACAGGACTTAGCACCTGTACTGAGGACTGTGCCAAGTCCTGCTGGGAAAGGGAATCAGCATCTCCATAAAGCTTGTCAGCAGATGGAAGAAGGAAGTGCTCTAAAATCTCCAGGTAGACGACTGCGCTGGTAAAACCTAGTGGACCAACACCAGCAGATGATGTGACACCCTAAATCATCCCAGACTGAGGAAACTTCACACTGGACTTCAAACACCTTAGATTCTGCCTCTCCACTCTTCCTCCAGGCTCTAGGACCTCAGTGTCCAAATGAAATGCAAAATTTACTTTCATCTGGAAAATGGACTTTAGACCAGTGAGCAACAGTCCAGTTGTTTTCCTTCTTAGCCCCACTAAGACGCTTCTGAAGTTGTCTCTGGATCAGGAGTGTCTTGATATTTAGAAATGGGACAGTTGTGTACTGAGCTAGACTGAGAGACACACTGTATTTATACTGTTTAAACAGTAATTTACTCAAACTCAAAATGAAATCTTCTAATAATGTGAAATAGATCATTTCTGATTTTCATAAACTATAAGCCATGAACCTCAAAATTAGACAAGAAAAAGCTTGAAACATTTTACTGTATGTGTAATGAGTTCAGAATATATAAAATTTTACAACAGTTTCGCAAAATAAGGTCTAAAAATGTGCATAAAGTTGAGTGAGCCCCTCTGTAAAGGTTGAACAAAAACTGATCGGTGACCTTACATTTTAATATGTTCCAACTGCAACTAATATAAAAATGATGGTGACTGATTGTACCACTGAAATTGGTTTGTCTTACCTTGCAGGTTCTCAGAGATGGAGTCCATTTTGAAGACTTCAGTGAAACATTAGAATTAATGAAAAGATGCAAAAATAGTCAAGCTGCAATCCTCCACAGCTCTTTCAGTTTCCACATTATCAATACAAAGGGAAGAAACAATATAGGGAAACATGGATGTAAATATTGAATTACCGGCTAATACATTCAGACTGAAAAAAACAAGGTTGATTATTTCTAAATTAGACAATTGCCACAAATTCTACGTGGCAGTGATATGTGGCAGCAAAAATCACAAAATGCAGAGCGCAGATATCCGAAGTGTGAAGTTACACGCACGGAACATCACCACCAGACTTCTTTATCATAGACACGTCTAGATAAAACCCACTTTCTCTTTCCACCCTGCCTGTGTGCACACATCACCTCTCCTTGCTCACCATGCACGCTGTTCTTGCTCATGAGCTTCAGCACACACATCCTGTTCCGAGTCGTAAGTCACTGTTACAGTGAACTTAGAGAAGACAAAGCGGGCAGAAACCTCCCACACTGAGACACAAACCACTGTCAGGAAATCTGCTGTTCTACACAGTCGAGCATCAAAGTGTAGAAGGAGATAAAGAATTTGTCAAACTGTTCAATGCTTTTGTGGATTACAGTATAGACGAATCAAAGCTGGCAAAATCTCGACAGTAGTTCAACACCTGTATACCACAGAAACTAGTTGTAGGACTAAAAAACCTTTAAGCTGCAGAGACATTAATGATGTTGTCACTGCACAGCTGCTTTATTTACCTCTGACCACCAGGGGGCACCTAAAGATGACTCATAAGTATGGTAAGTATGTTACACAATTTGTTGGCACCAGTCAGGGATGAATTGTTTTGATCAAGCAACATCTATACCTACAGTTAAAAACTCCTCAATTACAAGTAAAAGCCCTTCGCCCCTTAGACACACAACAATACTGGATGTGCCCTTTTCAGCTTTTTAAGTATATATAAAAAATAAATAAAAATGACATCACACAGATCTCAGTTGTTTAACCATTAGTAGTATTGTCATCTTGCTTTATGCCATAAAACAAAGTCTGTTTTTAAACACAAAAAAATAATTTAGGGTTGTGCATATGTTAAAGTATACTGAAAAAGAAAAAAACCCACTGTACAGAATGCTGTCACTATAACACTTTTTTCCCTCACTAACCAGAGGGCTGTATCACAAAGCCAGTTTGACATATCCAGACTTTCTTTGTGTAAGTCGATTCAATAAAAACTAAAAAACTAAAGCCCCAGTCAGAGATAACAGGTATCACAAGGATGTTATCAACTTTCTTTGCTAACTCAGACTTTGTGCTTCAGACTGAACGTTCACATAATAGGAGCCGTTTAACGAGTCATGTGATTCATCTTCTGTACAAAGTGAGATGCTTCAGTCAGCAGGTCGTTTGAAAGGAGAACAATGAGGAATATAAAAATTATGATGGTAAAAAGCGCTGATGCTGCAAATGATGCAAGACATGAATGCTGGTAGCTGTTAAACATGTGTTTATGTATTTCTTTTACTGATCGATGCAGCTACTGACTTGTTAAACTAACCCATAAATCTGGATATGGCTTCCACTGAAGGATATAAGACTGAAGGTGTGAGAGGGATCTTTAGAATTGATGCTGGCATTGCATTCGTTAGCTGCTGTTCTGTTAGTGTCACTTCTCCTGATCAGTAAACACTATTTCAGCCTAAGTCATCCGAGTCTCTGGTGTGTGTCTCTGTGTCAGGTTCCTCATCCTACATCCACATCTTTCAGAATTTCCACAACACAGGATATCACTTTAATATTTGCGAAAATCAAAGTTAAATTAATGCTATTGATTGAATATTCTCTGTAATAAATACCAGTAGAATAATCAGTGTTCTAATCTGTGTTTTTCTATTAGCTGTAGTAGTTTAAACAGGCCAACGTAAAAATATATTTATGTGATTTCTGCATTGCCAACTAAATACATACATTAAAATACAAACAGTGTTAGTGCCAGGACATCACTCAGGCTGTATCACAGGACACATGCAGCAACATATCCCTCTCAGTGAGTAGTTTCGTTGTGGAGTGGTGTTCTGTGTTAACAGAAAGTACACAAGGACGCACAAGTACATTAAGATGATTTTATTTTTCCATCAGCTGTACAGTGTCTCATCTTCAAAAATGACATGACAATGGTTTCTTCTGTTTTCTTGGTCTTAAAACAGGGATGTGCTTAAAACTATCTGAAACCAGTTTCCTCTATTCTTCTTCCAAAACAGAGAGGCAATATGTAGAAGAAAAAACAATGCTGTAGCGATTAGAATAGTCTAACATCCATCTTCCAACCAGCCACCTGCAGAACAATAATATGACAGGTTGATAATGAACATTGTTCTTGTTTTACAGAAGGAGTTCTCAGACCACAGCAGGACAGTCACATCATTGATTGGTTTTTACAGCACTGGGCATCTGACTGCTGTTATATTACAGAAGTGATGGTTCCATCTAACAGTAACAGGTCTTGCTGTAACAAAAGCAAGGTCACCTAACAGCTGTCATAACCTGTGATTTAACTGTTACAGAGAAATCAGCTCACATCAGAGCTTTAACCCCTTGTCTATTAACATCTTCAAAAGACTCAAACTATATTATTTGTTGAGATTTGGACCATAAAGATTCCCGGAATATGGCCTGGGTTAGGGTAAAGACATATCCTGCAGACAGACAATGACTGAAAACTCAGGTCCTGTCAAACTGCACGACCTGCAAGGCCTCAGTCCAGGGCTGACAATAGTGCAGAATGGCCCTCGTGATTGCTTAATAGGGTTTTTCCACTGTGGTGGGTTTCGCTGTCCTAAGCCTTGAATGGCTCAGGCTCAGGGCCTGTCCACTGTGCTGCACAGACAGGTAGTGCAGCCTAGTGGAGGCCCTAATGAAGTTCTGCCAACTCTGTAATAAACACAGTGCATTTCCTGTAGCTTCTCCAGTGGAACGTTTCTAAAGTAAAACGACAGTTAGCATTAGCAGTAGCTTCACGCAGCTTTCAAATGGCCAAAAGCCATCAATAAACAGTAAAATAAGGCTGATATGTGAATGTAGAAACAAGGACACAGGAGCAAAACTAAACTCCAGACCACAGATATTGGGGTAAAACTATAAACGTTCACAGAGCAGAACACAGAGAGACTTTTCAAAGCAGCTTATACTCAGAGAGGGGAGGAGAATGACACAGGCTGGCCATGCTCAGCCCCGTCACTGAGCAGAACCACAGCAGTGCAGCGATGCCCTGCTGTGAGGCCGGATGGGAAATGCATGCAATCATATCTTGCACAGCAGAGCGCAACGGACAGGGACCAACCCAGGCTGACGGAAAAACCCTATTAAGTCACACATTAAAGAAAATACAAGGCTTCCAAAAACCACAATTCTTGAAAAATAAGGATAAAACTTGTCAAAAGAAAAAAAAAATGTTTTAACATTGGTGCCAAACAGATACTCAAAAACCTCTTGTTCCTTTTTAGGTAAACTAGCCTAACACCTAGAAGGAGACATTGAACTCAATCAACTGCATACAAACACAGTAGCAACTAGAAAACCCCAGAAATAAAATCTGTCAAATAGCATCAAAGCAGACTATGGCTATAAACAACAGAACATGGACAGAAAAGGGATAGTGGTTAAAAATGAGTTCACTTCAGTTTGTTCGGTTAGGTAGGATTGATCTGTAGAAGGAAAGCACAACGATGTTGCTTTACAAATCAACTTCACAGGCTCAGGACATCGTGTACCAAGATTGGCAAGACCATATTTACTAAATAAATTAAAACATTGACGCCTCTTTTAACAAAAATGTCTCCAAATCAGCTATTTAAAAACATTAAAAAGGTTCACAAAAATCAAAAAGCCAAGGGATTAAAATGTGTATTTACATGCAAACCACCTGCCACAGTTGGCTACTACTGATTATTGTAGGGGGTGTTTGAGTGACGCACTTGATTCAGTCGGGTCTTTGATAACTGTTGACAGGAAAATATTTAAAATCAAATATGAAGTAAGTGTTTTACGTGGCAAAACTAATTGAAATGGTACGCATGCATAGTCATAATTCCATACTGACTTAAGTGTTTGGAATGTTCAAAAATCACAACTATAGAAACGCCTTTTTCCAATCAGGATTACCTACTGTCTCCAACCATTAGGGCCCATTCATTTATGTGAAGTATAATGTCTACATTCTCTTTTAAAATGTGAAATAGGAAGAGGAGGGATCCCAAACATATTGCATCAATGATAGGTAGAGAAAACAGAAAAAAGTCAAAGTATAATATCAAGTCAAACTATGTTGGTGCTGGAAAACAAATTTAGCAGCTTATTTAACTACTTAATTTACAGTTTCAGCGAGTTAGTTTTTGCTCAGAACAAGATTGGCTGCTGGCAGTCTGGATGTCAAACAGATGAACTAAGAAAGCTGAAAAACTGTTATTACTGACTTCAATTGATTTGAATGCATCCCTGTGTATAAAGAAACCCTCTGCTGACTTTCTCCTATAAAAGGCTTAACGTACAAACAGCTGAATAAAAACACCACCGAGTGGACCATGAGTTTACATGGGCCAAGGCAAGGAGGGGCATAATTGCAAGAACAGCAAGCAGGCCAGCATAAAAAAATCAGAATGAATCTAAGTTACATTAAAAATGTCTTCATATGGCAGAGCGACAGGGAGAGGAAGGTTTCCGGCCAAACGTGTGGGTAGAGACTGACACAGGATGTGGCTTTGGGGAGGAACATATAGCGAAGTACATACATACTCATTCAGAAGACATTCGGACTGGAAAAAAAACAGATTTAAGAGCATAGAGCAGTCTTGGACGATATCTGATTATGATGAGACAGATGACACAAGTGTGTGCTGCAGGATCTTGTATTTTGCGTGTGCGTGAGAGACTCACAAACATCAGTATGCAGGCTGATGTACATGAACGTGAAGACAAGCATCTACTTGTGTGTGTGTGTGTGTGTGTGTGTGTGTGTATGTGTATAAGTATCTACATGCAGCTTCAATTCTTTGTGCATGGCTGTTAATGCTGTCACCATTTTTGAAGCCATTTCTTTTGAGGCAAAATGGCCGCCACTAAACACACAGATTGAACATCAGGTGAAGGCCAAGTATGTAGAAATAATAATGTGTATTTGCAAATTTTTCTTAGTCCAGCTACATGTGTGATGCTGTGTGTTGTGTTCACCGGTCCATCATGCTGAGGATCATCTCCGGTGTGAGATCTCCGTTAGCAGCAGCTGCCGCCGTTTCATCATTCACAGCCAGCTCAACAGTCTCCACCCCTTCGTCATCTAGCCCCACTCCCTCCACAGTCAGGGCCACTCCCTGTTCCAGAGGGGCTGCTGCAGAGGCATCACCCTCCTCCTTCTTCACTATGATGTTCTCCACTGCTCCGGTGCTTTCATCCTCCACCTGAATGATGGCAGCAGCTGGAAAATCCAACAAAGACACATCTTAGCACAACGTGTAGCGGTTTGGGGAAATAAAAAAAAAAGACCTTATTATCTAGGGCACCAGACTAAGTCGGAGGATTACCTCCACATTCTCCCAGAAAACCTGAAACGATCAACCAGAAGGTTGCATCTTGGATGCAGTTTGGTGTTTTAACCAGACAGTGACCTCAAACACACATCGAAGTGGTAAAGAAATGGTTAAATCAGACTACAATGAGGGATTGAGACTGGTCTCCCCAAAGTCCTGAGTGAAACCCATTAAGATCCTGTGGACTGTGATTACCAAACAAGTGTATATGAGAAAGCCAACAAATTTAGTTAAACTGTACCAATTCTGTAAAGAAAATTGGTCAAAGACACAACCAGAACCTTGTGGACGGCTACCAAAAGCACCTAGATGAGGTGAAAATGCCAATGGAAAGTTTAACTAAATATTAGCACTGTTGTATGTATATTGTTGCCCCAGCAGGTTTCGGCATAAATCCAGGACACTTATAATAAATCTATGGAAAACAAAAATGCCCAATTGAATTTTGGGACAAAGACGCAGTGTTTCAATGATTCCTTCATAAGAAGATTCAGAGTAATAGGAGTCATTGGAAACTTTGGTCTGCCATAATACACATGGTATTTTCAGGTGTAAGAAAACCTCTGTTCAGGACTGTATTGTGTAACAGAATACATATAACATGTGAACACTCTACTTCAAAACTACATACATTAGGACCCATTTGTCATAAAATTGTTCTTTAACATTTACTGGTCTGATTTTCTAGTGAATAAATCAGGTCAGTTTTCTCACCAGAAGCAGTTGTTTTGGCAGCCACTCTGACTGATTTGCTGGGTGTTGGAGGCTTTGGGGCATTTTTGGGGGGTCGGCCTCGTTTTCTCTTGACTGGTGGCTCATCAGGAGCTGGTACTGGAATGGCAGCAGGGGCCTGGTCCAGTTCCATACTTTCTGGCTCTTCTTCTTCCTGTAGCAGTGACGCATCTTCCTCACCCTCACCCTCCTCCTCCAAGTCCTGTTCAACGTTATCCTCCTCTGAATGACAGAAAACAAGAAGAGACATTTGATGATGTAATTAGAAGTGACCAAGCCAGTATCATGCCCACACTTGAAAACAAAGTCTAATTCTCACCACTATCATCCTCGTCTCTTCGGCTCCTCATCTTCCTCTTTCTTCCTCTCCTCCCTTTCTTTGGGGTTGGAGCTCCATTCTCAGCATCCTCCATCTCACCGCTGCAGTTTTCAGCATGGCGAGCCATGGTGTTCTAACAAGAACACATTGTTAGTTATTCGATTGATTCCTACAAAGTATTCGGAAGTAGCAGGCTTAGGTGTGAGAAATAGAAAGAGAAGTGTCCTTACTCTGCGAGTGAAGGTCTTGCTACACTTGGGGCACACAAAGGCAGTGGGGACAAAGTTGGGGTCATGGTAGCGTTTGAAGTGCATGTCTAGGAGCTGCTTCTGTCTGAAGGTCTTTTCACACTGACTGCAGGCATAAGGTTTCTCTCCAGTGTGGGTTCGACGGTGCATTACCATATGTCGCTCCTGTACACAACCAAATGGGACACAGTTAAAAAAATACATTTAAAAAAATGAAAAAATCTCAGATAGTAATACCACTTCAATTCAGCATGAAAAATCTCAACTGCAAGATGGATTGCCATTATAATTCATTATTCCCAGAGAATAAACCAATCGACTTTGGTGATCCCCTGATGTATCTCCTAATGCTAAGAGAAGTTAAAACCCTTCACTCATACATTACATTACTTAACATCTAACAGATAGAAATATAAACTTGGAAACATGAACATGGTAAACTTGACTAGAATAGCTAGAATAGCAGTGTACTGTAACCTACTGTTATATAATTTTAATAACATGATGATTATTTTTTAAATTTCCTTGGCATCATCTTAATACAAAAATGGAATAAATGTTCTGTTCTAAATATGGCAGCCCTAAATATCACAAGATATTTGTGTACAAACACACCTGGCGACAGCAGTAGTCGCACATGTCGCATTTGAACCTCTTTTCATTCTTATGAGACTTCTGATGCTGGATCAGAGCATAGCGCTCGTGAAAAACGGCGTCACAGTAACGACACTTCTTTCCTGTCTCAATGAATGAGTGCTGTTTGCGAAGATGGACACCTGGAAATGTGCACAGATGACAGGAGAAAATACATTAGGGGTATGAAACAACATTACAGAGTGAACTATCTTGTTTGTCTGGTAAGTTTACACTGTGTGTGTGTGTGTGTGTGTGTGTTACCCAAGTCACTCTTGCGTGCAATGACAGTGTCACAGTGTGGACAGTGGAACTTGGCCACATTCTCAGTGTGTTTCTGCAAAATGTGCATCTTCATTGTTCCGCTCTGGGTGAATCGGGCATGGCAGATGTAGCACTCATACGGTTTTTCTCCTAAGATGAACATTGGAAAAATAAAAAACCAACAGTTGAATGGTCTTATAAATGCTTCTAATGTAGCACAACTATAAAGGAATACAAAATAGGTGTAAGGAAGAACAATGTTTTTGGAAGTACAATTTCAACAATACTATATCAATCAGTGTAGCCTCATTTCAGTTATTACAAGTGAAAATGATGAATGGAGACTTAAAAATTGTCAGCTAACTGAAAATGTATTAGTAATGAGGGTTATGGAAAATGCCACCATTCCACCATTAAAAAAAGATTTTTAATCCTTCCCAAAATAAAACCAAAATAATCATACAAGTCTCTAAAAATGTCTGTGAAGACTGACTGCTACCCCTTCCTACTTAAATACTTTAAACATGTAGAAGAGCATTAAAGTGTCATTATTTTTTTTTCTTACCTGAGTGTGTCCTCATGTGTCTCTTTAGCTTATATGTGTCTCTGCTAGCGTAGCTGCAAAGACTGCACTGGAATGGACGCTCGCCAGTGTGGGAACGGATGTGACGTTTGAGTTTGCTCACCTATACAACAGTCACACAAAAAGCCACACATAGTAAATATAAGCTGAAATCTTTGTAAAATTTCAAGAACATAGAGCAGGTAAAAGTTGGCGGTACCTCAACACTGGCATAGTCACACATAGAGCACTTGAAGGGTTTCTCGTGCGTGTGTTTGTATCGACGATGACGAACCAGCTCTCCACTCGTCACGAAAGCCATATCACAGTCTGTGCACTTGTGTGGACGAGTTCCTGCATTAACAAGAGTAAGATACATGTAAGCTACCCATGTGTTAAAAAAACAAAAAAGCAAAACAGGTTTCTCGCATCTTAAACGGCTACAGGTGTGCTTTAAAGTTTGTGAATCATCGAGAAACTTAATTTTGTTTCTGCATTAATATGGCCTGAAACAGATTTTCACACAAGTGGTAAAAGCAAAACCAAGAGACCTCAGTTAAACAAACTAGAGAACACTACACACTGAGCTGGAGTGATCTTTGTTGGTCGACTACACATAGGGAGGACAACAATGGTCCTTAGGTTAACTGCAGATGAGTGCAAACTCTTAAGAGTTGTTTTTAGAATCCTCTCTTTCATGCCACGATACACTTCCATAACAGTGTGCTATGAAGATGTGGCATTGACAGATCCCAGAGCTTCAGACTACAACTGTGATCATTTTAGATCACCCATACATCAATGCATCACCCAAAACACTGAGCCTCACCCTCACCGAGAATAAAATGGATAGAAAGTCCAACACAACCTGTAACATAGGGACTGATGACAAAAAATAATATGGATTTTCAAATTAAAATAGTTAACATCAAGTTTCAAGTCACTGTGAATCTTGACCATTAATGCAAAACTAAAATATGCAAATTAAGCAAAAATAATAATCAGGAAATCATGTACTGTGCACCAGTTACCAGTGCTAACCACAGGAAAAAATGTCTGAAGCTCTGAAACCCGGTTATTTAAATAACACAGCAACAACTCACCCCTGACAGTCATGATATGCAATGCTAAATTATCTTCCTTATGAAATAAATAAGCAAGCACAATATTTTTGTCTTATTTGTGCATTTAGGTTCTCTTCATCTTTTTTTAGGACTTCAGTGAAAATCTGATGATGATTTTTGGCCATGTTTATGCAAAAATTTAGAAATTTCTACAGGGTTCACAGGCTTTCAAGCACTATTGTTAAAACTCTTTTGTTCTCTAACATGGTGCCGAACGTTTTTATGAAGATCTGGATTAGTGTATACCTGTGTGTGTGTTGAGATGATTTCTTAGCAGGGTGACCGTCCTAAAGGCTCTTCCACACAAGTGACATTTGTGAGGTCTCTCGTCGGTGTGGCTCTTCATGTGCCTATCCAGGTTGGAGCGGCGAGGGCATGTGTAGCTACACAGCTCACATTGAAACGTCTTCTTTACTCCTAACACACAACAACGACATTCACAGACATTCAAAATATTTGTATCTCAAAGCAACAGACTCAGTGCCAGCCTCAGTGCAAAACAATGAAACATTGCAATAGGAACACAATTTAAAACTAAATTCTTCATGCATGTAGAACAGAATCTTTATAATTCATAAGTCTTGTCGAATCTTCTACTCTTCAGTTACAATTCGTGCTGAATCATTAATTTGGATAACAGCCATTAAACAATACAGTAATATGAACTTTTAATGACATCAGAATTCCATTGAACTTGACTTTTTTGTTTCAATGTTTAGCAGCTGCATGTAAAAACAACTGTCAGCTCTAGAGTTTAACATGTTGTTTAACATATAATGTGGTTATTGGATTTACCATGTAATTTTAAATTATTCCAACTGAATACTGCCATGAGTGATGTTTCATATGATTTTGTATGTTTGGCCATATATTTTTTATATTCTCTCTCTACAAAAATCTCATGTGGACCACAGAAAGAGAAACTGTTGTGATATAGCAGCACCAGGGGATCAAACAGAAATGTATTGTGAGTAAGCCCTGTGCTCATTTGACCACAGCTTGTTACGGTACTTTACCTACAGTTAGGAGTGATGAGAATGCAACTGACAGCAGACGCAGCTCACGTTTCTTAACAACACATTTTTTTGTGAGCCATTCAACAGTCCTCCCTTACCTTTCTTCTTGATCTTTGTTGGTTTGGGTGGTTTCATGTTGCCAACCACTTTCTCAGCATTGACCTCAGACAGAAGGCCCTCCTGCTGTTCCTCTTCAAAGTCGTAGACACTGACATCCATATCTTTGTCTCCTTCAGCATACCGCAGACGACTCTTTTTACCCTGAAGGACAAACAGCAATTTCAGTTCTGATATCTTCCCCCATACCCCCAAAAAAGAGCAATACCACTCACCTACTCACTTATCTTACCTTTTTTGTCTTCTTAACAACTCCAGATGGAGGCTGATAGTCTGGGTCTTTAGCCCAGTTCGGGTCATCATTTGGAGGCTGAATGGGCTCATCTTCCCCTTCTTCCAGTAACTGGTTCCCCACCTCCTCATCTTCCTCTTCTTCAGGATGAGCTTCTGCTCCCTCCTCCTGCTCTACTGTCTCCACTTCCCCATTAGCACCAACCTTGACTACCTAAACATCAAATGTATTAACTGTTTAGTCAGCTCACCAAAACAATCTGTGGCTGCACTGATATTTAATCAGCTAAGACAAAGCTGGTCATTACATTAATGTGACAGCTTTGATTTCAGGTTTAAGCTGTACAGCAATTCTATCAGAATTTTTTCTCAAGGTCAGACCTAAAGAAATTACAATAATTACTTTTACATACAAGTCATTCAAACTTTTGAATTAAGTAAACAGAACTTTGGAATGAAGTACATTTCTGACTTTGCAAAATTTCAAATTCAGTCCTACATTAATGTCTAAGTCAGAGTATGCCCATGTACCTGAAAGCCCTCAGGCAGTGGCAGGGTGTGACAGATGACTGGGTCTCCATCCTTTGGCATTGCAGTTGTGTCTACAAAAGTGCCTTGCTGCAGGGCCTCAACAGTGGTGGCTGAAACAGGGACCTGGACCAGCTGGAGCTCTCCTAGGCCCAAAGCTGCCTGCTCCTCCATGTTTACCACCTGAGGACAGAGGAAAATCACAGGGTAGAAACAAAGTCCAATTTAATACTTGACAATAAATCCAAAACACATTAGTATTTAACTTTATAAAAACCTACAGACATCTTATAAATCCAGCTTTTCCTAACTTTCCAAGGGGACAAATTATGAAATAACTGTTGAAACATGCAATGGCTTTAAAAGAGTACTCACCTGTAGGGTGATGATTTGTGTCTGGTCCACTGTTGTCACAGTGGCTTGGTGGGCAGCACCTGCTACTCCTCCAACGACACCCACTGTAGTTGATGACCCCCCCACTGCAGCATCAATCACCTGCAAATTAACTTCATTTTAATGGGCATTTGGGATAAAGCCACATACTCTGGCAGGCATGTTTCTGTGCAATGGGGTTACCTCAGTCTTCATCTGCAACAGAGTGGGATCCAGTGAGTCCATAACCATCATTTCAACTCCTGCTCCACCTTCCACACCAACCTCCACTCCAGCTTCCATCAGCTGCTGCTGGGACTGGGCAGCTGCTACCATCCCTTCCCCATGACCTGAAAAACAACATAGCCAGGGAATAGCACATATGACTACATTCTCTACAAAAAACATCCCTGCTTGCAAAACAAATGTATACTACACTGTGTGGTTTAGCAGTCCAATGGTGGAATAATTTCATCATGAATAAGTAAAAACCTTGTTCCAAGACAACTCCAGCTTGTCCTTCAACCACACCTCCGGCTTCTGCCGCTTGCTGAAGGAGGTCAGCTACCATAGCATCCTGGCTGTGAACGGCCTGGATAGACGGGAAGTCTTTGGTGGGGACGTCCACGACCCCTACACCCTCTGAAGGCCCACCGTCCATGCTGGGTAGGAACTGAAATATGGTTTTGTGGAAACAAACATTATGTAGCTGAGTGTTGTGCAACCCCTAGACTTGAATATGTAGATTTTCCCTACAATTTGACACAAAAGAGTCAACTTTCTATGGCCTTAAAAAATATCAGAGAACTAAACAGTGTTAGGTTTTACTTTCATCACATACAACTGTATACCAGCATGCTACATTCCCAACTCCAAACATGTACTTGACCCTTAACCAATACTGCACAGCCCCTTTCAGACAAGCACTCCATTCCATTAATCTAACAGCAGTTTAACATGTCTGCTTCACAGCTACAGTTACATATTCTCAGCTGCATTTAAATATGTTGTTACACTGCAGCTGTCCTCAGGTTCAGCGCTGAGCTTTCAGTTTCAATGTTTAAGAAACTATTCACTATTTAAACTTTCTCCTGCACTGGGAGAAGTATGTCTCAATGTAACTGTAAGAACATTCACGGAAAAGTGGCCTGTGTCTGAACTAGAAAGCTATCATTTTAACAGATTGATTAAGCCAGTAAAGTTCCATGTTCCACGTCTGACAGGGGCTTATGCGTCTAATTCAAAGTTCTCTCCATTCTTGTTGCTGCTAAGGGTTATTGTGATGTTTAAAAAACAAGTTGTTTTCATTTTCAGACACTTCTATCAACCGTTTCTACTATCATGCAACTTTACGTTACCTCTTAGTCAAAGCTGACGTGTATTACAATAAACACAGCACTGAACAACTCCATTGCATTGGCTGGTGGACTCGGTCCAAATAAATGTGGGAAAAAAATGATAACACAAACAAACACCATGCTATGATGGTGTTCAAAAGCTGTAGTTCTGTCTTTTCCAGGATTTTGTAGGAACACAGCGACACAGTTATGAACTTGGTAGCAATTAAGGCTACTGCTGTTACCTGGAATACCAAGGAAAATCTGACTTTTGGCATGATTTCTGTAGACTGGGCAACAGTCAGCAGGGCTGGTGTACTGGTGATCTCCCTTTTCTTTGCTTCTGAAAGCTCAATCAATTATCTGCTATCTGACTGTCCCTGCCAATCTGAGGGGAGGGAAGAGGTACATGTTACACAGCTTCACTTACACAAATTTCTCCCACTATCAGAAATAGGGACTTTAACACTATCGGCCTACATGTCTCTGACAATGTCAGTTGTTTTCAAAACACTCACCTGAGGCTCCAAGCAGCTACCTTACTGTGAACCTGTGAGAAAGGAGAAGGGAAACACCATCACCATGTGTTGAGCAGATTCAGTCACTATTATCACTGAGTTCTTTCATGACAGTGCCTGTACTCTGTTTTAATATTCCAGCTCAGCAGCACAGAATTCCAAGTTGTTTTGAGTGTGCAATTAAGATAAATTTATAGTAAATAAAGTGACCTGGTAAATGGGTCACTCAATATACAATGCTCACAAAGAACCTGAGAAAATGAACTGCTTAATGATTGTTTGAAAGCTCCGGTACATTATTTTGCTGAAATAACAAATTTTCACAGCATCTTTTGGTGCTGAACAAAAGATTTTAATTGCTGCTTTGGTTGTCAAGTTCCATAACATAGGTTATTTCCAAACACTTAACACAGAAGTATTTGTGAAAAAAGACTGGAAACATCAGATGATTAACAAATATAAAACTGAAGTACAAACACTAGTGTGAATACGTGTATTTTTTTCTGACTTTTTAATATATTTAGTGTATAAATTGAAAGAAATTTGCACAAAATAGTTCATGTAAAAAGAATTTATATAAAGATCTAAGGCGTCAGTGTAACCTCCACAGCTGGTGTGTGATTGATGGAGCAGCTCTGTGTCGCACACATACGTGACGATGGAGGAGAGAAGTAAATGTTCAACAATACGATCACACTCACTACAGATGATGCAAAAAACATTTGTTGCCACAAGACTAACAAGTCGTTTGCATGTAAGAGCAGAACACGACTGATCTATCGAAACATTCATCAACAGCTCATCACAAACAAAGAAATGTTTGACTGCGGAGCTCGTAGTTCGTCCCTCACTAACCACGTATGTTATGTTTGCTAGCAGCCAGCACACAGAGTTTACCAAATGATACGAACATGGGCTAATGATTAAAAAATTGTATTTTCCAGCCATTTGTTTAACTGCAGCTGCGTTCATAAACTCAGTATGAAGCTCAGGGCATCATCTGAACTGCTGTGCAGTATTTCACTTTCACTTTCGGAGCACTGAGCAGCATGGATTTTGTGGATTTATTTGCACTGTTTCTCTAACTGACTGTTGGTGTTCGTGGTAGAAGATGTACTTAGCAGTTTTCTTCATTAAACTACTGTTATCACAAAGTAACAAAACTGTCAAGAAACGGTCCTGCATTCATTTCATACTTGAAAGTGTAAAGTAAAAGAGGTTTTATCAGCACAATGTACTGACATTTACCCAATATCTGTTCAACATGCAGCTTTTAACTCAGTAAAGCCTGTGACGCTGTCCACAGTGCTCCTTTTATCTCCACCATCACAACATCAGTGTCTATACAGTGATTTGCTCAAAAGATTACTTTCTTCTGCTGTAAATAGTTAATGTATATCGTTAACATTTCAATTATCACAATACAATAGTGTCAGGTTCAAAACAATGTTCCTGCAGAATCTTACTTCTGTTCTTAATCTGTTCTTTTCTTGATGTCTATCACTATACATACCAGAACGTCAGTTTGCACCGTTTATTTGAATATTTCCAACAACTAAACTTTATTTCTTTAATAAATTCTGATGATTCTGGTTGCTGAATTGCCACACATTAACTCTTGTCCAAGAAACGGCATGTGTCTCGATACCATCTTTGTCAGTGCGTAAAACCATTTGAGTATTTAGTCAAACGGCAATCACTGTCTTTGACTTGGTCTGTGTCATGTGCTAGTGTGCAGGATGAGGCAGCTGTTTATCTTACCATCCTGAGCATCTTATAAGATAGACTCTTCAGTGCATGTACTTCATGATATCAAGAAATGACTGTATACACTCAGCTCACTGAAAAACATTGCTGCATTCTGGTTTTGATGTAAGAAAAACAAAACACAACAAACAAACAAACAAACCAAAAACAGCTTGGCAAATGTAAACTGTGTGTTTCACCACCGCTGGCAATGACTGTTCCAGCTGCATGGCCATAGCCAGTTAATGGCAATATCCACAACGTGCCTATAAACATCCCTGTCCACTTGTGCCCATGTCGCTAAATGCTTAGAAGCTGGGAAGGTTCTGGTAAAGGCCTTCATAGATGCTTCAACTCATGGTACAACAAATTTACCAAAACATGGCAATAATATGGAGCCATGCAGCTGTCGCCTCCTTCCACTGCATTTATATAGCGGTATTTTTGTAGCTCTCCAAGCCGAGTCGTAGAGGGAGCTCTCTGCTGTAATATATATCTGTGGCTATGAGGCTCTAGGTGGGCTTAGAATAAGAGACAAGCGGGCGACGGGTGCAACAACAGCTGCCAATTCAGACCACGTCGCGATGACCTAAAAAAAAAAGAAGAGAAGCGCAGAAATGGAAGAAAGATGATTTGGGGAGAAAACAAATCGTGTATTTGGTCTTTGTGACTTCGTGGCCTTTGTGATCACTGAGGATCGTTTCGCTGGGAATGCCTCGTCATTCCCTTTCCGCGCTGGCTTCAACGTTATCGTTTACGTGTGTATGCTTTGTTACCAGAAAGTCTAACTAAATTGACTTTGATTTCAACAACTGTAGATGCGACCATTACTAATTGATCCGAGGAAAAGACCGAGTCAAACATGTGCTCGAGTTACTTTTGAGGACTTTGACGCCTTTGACTCTATGAGACGTGCTAAGGGCGTTGGGTAGGGAGGGCCTTAAACCCGAGCTAGGTTAACTTAGCTAATGGTAACTGTTAACTAGCTAGCGCCAGTTGCTACATTGCTTTCTTCAACAAAAGCTATCGTTATGTAACATGCTGAAACTCAAAGGAAACCCAGCTGGATCTAATACGGCCTTGTCATTTCTATGCAACCCAGTTACAATGTTCTCATGCATGCAACGATTTCTGTATTGGACGTACACGAATGCAAACAAGCTAACGTCAGCTATGGGCGATAACTTGAACCCGCCAGTTCCATGTCGTCAAGGCTGTAAAGACGGGAAACAAAGAAGCGAGAAAATGGACGCCTTGGCCTAAACTCTCAAACCAAATCTACGAAGTATTCGCAACATATCCTAAACCATATTTTCATAGATACACGTGAAATACAACTGATTGTGTATACATATATTCGGACTTCGGTTATTTAAACGTATTTTGACAGGGTTTTCAATAACGATAGAGGGAGACAAACACTCTCCCACGAGCTGCCCGGACCCGAGCCCCATCGTGACACCTAGAGGCCGACTAAAGATCCTGCAAACTCCCCCCTTATCAGAAAAGTAGTGATACTTTACCTATTTTAGTGTGTTTCTCCTCCCGTTTAACTCGACGGAAAGCACAGAGTCTGTGCTACAAAGTTTGAGCGGCTAGTAAAAAATGCAGGCTTCTTCCCAGTTTGTTTTAATCCCTCTCCCGCTTTAGCAGAGTAGCTTCTGCCACAAAATGGCAGTTGGGAGCTCAGTGCGCCTGTGCGGCCGCTGGGGGGTGGTGTCGAAGCTGCTGCAGACACCCTGATTGGCCAGGAGGGGCGCCCCGTTGGAATACATTGAAGCCCATTTATCACAATGTTAAGAATAGGGATGCTTTCACAACCCTCGGAGAAAAGAGGTTTAGTGTGAGATACGAAAGAGATCAAAATCAATTTCAAAAGTAAGACCACCATAGCAAAATAGGAATACGCCACTTGTGAATTATGGCTGATACTTTTGCATTTGCTTTGCTGTATGGCTCAAAGCCACATTTGTACTAGTGTATTCATGGTCACATTAAGAGTGCAAAACTAAGCAGGAAACTAAAGTCCACGAGTCCTTACTCACTTTATAAAACGTCAAATCAGTTTAAATACACTGTCATGTATCTTCATTAATTATTATTCAATGCATGACTTCATTATATGTATTTATATATTATAATATATATTTATTGTACATTATTAAATTTTTTTTGAAAAAGTTTGCAATTTCCCTGAGGTCTTGTACCGAAGGGATTAATAAAGTTTTTATTCTAATTCTAATTTATTCTAATGACTTACTATATCATCTTCAGAATGTCCCTGAATATCGGAGGTATCAGGGGAATTCTTTGCTTGCTATATGATTTCCAAACTTTTATAAGTGCCCTGAATGCAGCACACGTGATATTCAGTGTTCATACAGTAAAAATCATCAAATTCTGTCTCAGAAATTGTAATTTTAGGAAGGATCAGGACACATCTCATCCAGAATATGTGTGCTTTTTGTATTTGTGTGAGCAGGTCTTTATTAACAAAATGAATGCACATGAGACATTTTTAACATATTTTAATAGCTTGCATATATTTGACACAAGAATGCCTGAAAATACATTTTAGAAAAGAAAAAAAACAAACAAAAGAAAAAAACATACAATTTGTTTCCAAGCACAATTATCAAGCTTGTGGAAAAATATATATAATGCGTTGCAGTGATTTTTCACTGTTTCACTGTTCTTCATTCTTAAATAAAGTATCTCATCTAAGTCGTATTGCATCTTTGTTGTTATCAGACCTTGAGGCACTTAAAAACTGTGAGATGTTGTATGAATGCAGAGGCATAGCTGCAAATTTGTCTTGTCTTATAGAATTTTAACAGTGGTAAATACAATAAATACAGTGGTAGCCTCCATATACAAAAACAGTATGTCCCCACATAACACCAGTCCTACATTATGATTCTAGCAACATTGCAATGCTGTTTCTTTTTCTACTATAGTATATAGCAAAACATCCAAACTAAACACACTATACAACTGTCAAATTTTCACATCTCTCCTCACCTCTAGCAGCTGAAATAATATACGAATGTGAGTTCTTTTCAGCACACAATAGTACATGCATGATTCATTATTGACTTCAATAAAAAAATGTATCTATGATGAATAAAAGAGAATTAGGGCTATGTGAAAAAATACTTCTGAGATGAATCCCTGAGTACTAAAATCTGAGATTAAGCTCAGAGTTCATTAAGGAAAAAGGTCAGAATTCTTCAACTTTCTGAACTTACTTTCAGATTATGTTTGTCCAAGTTCTGATGATTTAATTCCTATTTCTGACATTCAATCTTAAACATAGCTTTTTCTTCAAAGTTCAAATAAATGTTTTGAGCCATGGTTTGAACCTCTACAAAGATGGTCAGATACTTGCAAGCGCAGCTACTCCTGATTTGTTTGTCGGAGCGGTCTAAGAAGCAGCTTCTCAGTACACTTGTATGATGCTATGAGCATCCAAGTAATTTTAAGGGATGTAAACAGGGTCGGCATATTATGCTTTAGGAACCTGATCCCCCCCCGGCTTGAAGACAAAACGTGTTTCCCATTTGCATACTCAACACTAATTCTAACTACAGTTTTCAGTATGTGGCATGTTCACACATCGGGGAAAAATTGTAAAGTGAGGTACGGTTAAAACTTGTCAACAGTCAGCCTACAGTTGCTGTGTGTTGTATGACGCTAATGAACCTGGGATTGCAAACAGCAGTATGAAAGCTCACACAATAGAAAACAACAGGACTGTAGAGACTGTCAGCAGGCTGGTGGCTCTTTGAGGCTGTACAAAGGCACTGCAGTGTTTGGAGCTCAATGCTACCAACAGTTTGCAAAAATCTTCACAATTACAGTGCTAACATGCTGATGTTCAGTAGGCATAATGTTTGCCAACTACGTTTAATGTGTTTGCATGCTAACATTTGCCGAGTCACAAAATCTGCCATCACTAGAGCCGAGCAAATACAGTAGCTGTCCATTACATACTGCTTCCTGTAAGTACAAATTTCTTCTTCTTTTATTTGAATTTTACAGCCAGAGCAGAGCACTGTCAACACTGATACGTCTGGTCTTCATCACAGTATTAGTATACAGTAGGAGATCAGAACCCGAACGCTGTACTAACACTGGACACTTTGGCATTTTCACAGGCAAGGTCTGTTGATAAATCACTGGATTATGAAGTTAACATTGCAGGATTTTTCAACATGTTGTGTGAATCTATTCACTTGTTTAGAAATATTGCCTTTGATGAAAAAAAAAATGTTATAACTTGATATTGCACATTTTTGAAAGTACAGAGCATGAATTACAACTTACATAATGGTGAAATTTGATTGTGTTTGGTAATCTGCGCACTCAGTATCTGTTTTGTGTGTACATTCTGTTACATTATTGTTGTAGATGTTGTAAATGAAAGTAGGATCAGGTATGAAAGTAAGAAATCCTATTTTACAATTACTGGGAAACTACCATGGAATATGAAGTTGCCACATCATATTTGCAGATCTTGTAATTATGACTTACTAACTTGTCAGTGAATGATACTCATCTTGTAATTCTAAGTTGCTTAGTCAAAAAAAAAAACAAGAAAAAAAAAGAATTTGCAGTTATAAGGTCAACAAGTACAAAACAAGCTCAATGTTTTTCTTTGCTAAATGCAATGTGCTTACTTTGGAAAATAGACAGCAGCCTTATTGAGAATATGTTTTAAAGATATGGTAGTAAATGACAAAAATATGTATGGTGCTTCAATAATTTTTGATCTCATGTCTGGGCATGTTTACTTGAAATCCGCCCAAGTTCTAACACACGTATTTTGGGTCAAACATTTAGGGATGTCAACAGTCAGACAACAGAGACAAATGAAACTTCTTTTTCAAAGTCAGATATTGCGGTTCCAATGTGCAACTTGGTGGTTTAAATGTTAATATGAATTTGAAGTGAAGTGATGTCAGACCTGGATGGACTAGTTCATCTCTACTCAATCATCTATAACTGAGACAATCCTCCACAGCAATCTGTCACAGTAATGCAAATATTCAGTGACTCCACACAAAACCGAACCCCTTTACAGCAGATGATACATTAAACAAAATGAGTGGCAAATTAAGACTCTGCTCAATTAATACTGTTTAAAATGACAGAAAATTCAATATAGTTATATATACTTCCATAAAAATAAGAAACAGATTAGAACTATAAAGATTAATGGCACTGAATTGCTTAAACCACTCTCTATACAGAAACAACTCAAGTTATCAACAGTCTCAAACTAGTGTGTTCTATAGTTCCTTTGTTTTTTTTATGGTTGCCCAAACATTGACAACATTATCAGGCCTGCAACACACTTTTGTCTTTTGATTTAGAAGACATGTCATAGTCAATTAGCAAGAAGCTGGGGTGTTGCAGATCTGGTGAACAGATCATGTTTTTTTTTTTTTCATTATCTGTGCAGGTCTGTCAGTTGAAATATTCTGTTGGCTGGTGACTGCAGCATTTTGAACTGCTGGCTCTACAGTATCCAGGGTTCCCTTTCTTTACCGGCCACGATACATCATGCTGAGCAACACAGTGAAGCCCGACCTGCTCACCTGTTACAAGCTCCTTTAAAAAACTATTTGACTCCAGCTCCACTGACAGATCCAACATTTTCCAGTTACCTTAACCAGTATAATAAAGGACATGATGACTTCTTCTACATGTCTTAGTCAGTCCACTCTTCAGTGCTCTGTAGTGGTGCAAGTCAAAGCTGTAGTGTTGAGTCTGCTGTCAATCTTTGGTCTTCAAATGTGTTTTCAGTTATCTCTCAAAGTCGGGCGTTTGGACCCATACTTTTAACTATTCTTGCCTCACAGCAGGCCAACAGAGAGTCAGCCAACTGTCATCTCTTCATAGGGACACTGCATTTTAAATGGCTATTGACAAGTGCTCATTTTCCAAAATATGTCTTTTCCATGCAACAACCATGCATCCTCATTTTAAACATGTAAGTGCATACAAGTGTTGCCAGACATCACACTTTCAGAATTAAATAGGAACATTTTGCAAGAATATTTTCTTCTAATATTGATTTGTTTCTAACAGTGGTTATTACAAATTATGATTAGCAAGTGAATGAGAGATTAAGGCAGATTTACAAACAACTATATAAAAAGTACAGAATGGCCACTGTTTTGTTTTTTGTTGTTGAGGTGTGGTCTTGATATGCTATCAATGGACTTGGCTGTCTCAAAACTGTCTGAAGTGGTCTTAACTACAGCCTAGGTGCAAGTACTGCATACAGGTAACCACAGTTAAGTGGTAAAACATTAAATCAACAAGCTGAAGTAGAGCCTATAGTGGTAGTGGAAGCAGAACTGCAAGAGTAAGGCCAGTAACTGTTATTAATGCTCAGTTTTTAGGCAGGTCACCTCACAGAACAGGCTGTCCATTTGGAGCAGGACTGTTTACACAGCCTTTGCGTCTAAACTAGAGACAGCAGAATCTATCAAGAAAAGTAGTTTTATGTAATGGAAGGGCTAGCAAATCTGGGGGGAAATAGAATATTTACTCTATGTAAGCCTTCTGGTTCATCACATAGCCAGTCAAAACTACAGTTCACAAGAGAATCAAATGAAATATACCTTAATATCAAAAATACAAGAAACTATACTTTGTACATTTGTCACCCCTGGTAGGCTATGGAAATGTAAATTATTTAACAATGCTTTAAATAGCTTTCTAGACTTGCCTTACTTCAGAGTGATGTATTTGTGTGTTGGAACATGGTACAGTTTTCTGAACATCTTTACAACCCATTGATTTGCTCACAGTAGTTAACACACATTTATTAAACTTCTGTGTTCTAATTTTAAATATTCGCCCAGTGTTAAGTAGAGTTGTTGTCCTTGTGAGTTTTTTGCAACCTCTCTGACAGTGTATATGCTGTATATTATATATTATATGTGTCTTTACACATTTTAGTTGTAGTAATAGGGTTGTCAAACTGTGTTTTGTTCCCACCCAGCGTAGATGTGTCTGTGTGTGCAGTGTTAGAAAGCTGTGCTGGCCATGCTTCCAGGAGCAAAGAGTCTTGGTAGGCTGTCCTGAGACGTCTCCACATGTCTGTGGGCCATCTTCCCTTCCTCTCCTGCTCCACACAATGAATGGAAGAACAACAACAAAAAAAATGAAGACGTGAAAGAAAGAATGAACAAATCAATAAATTCATGAATCCTCTGCAAAGACATTTGTGGTGAACAAAGTCACATGGCAGAAAACAAGAATGAAATATATAAATGAATGGAAAAAGAAATGAATGGATGAAAAAAAAGCAATATTTAAGTCACCATAGTTAGAGTAGATATATAAGAAATGGTTGTCTCACATGGGAACAATAATACACATCAAAGTTTGGATCAATCCCTCCAATGTCATCCAGTTATATCTTTACAGCCATCCTATTTTCACAGTTTTGGTCATTATTGCTACCACCTATTATTCTCACTGGCACTAGAGGTGTAGGTGAAACACATTTACAAATTACTAAGAAATAATAAATCAATTTAGCATTCACCTAAAAAAAACCTCCAAACCCCAGACAGCCTTTATGATTTATAATTGAACCTCATTACACTGGTTCCAAGATAGTTTCCGAACGGATTTTAAAATGATTTTTCAAGGCAAGATAAATTTCATGTGAGTGAAATATTGCTATACACACTCACAAGGTTTGCAGTCATCAGAACAGTGCTTTTTAATTCTTCCTGTAGCACCCAATAATTAATTAATTTACTGAAAACGTCTAAAAATGTAGTGAAATTTGATATTAACTTATTGCAAATGTAATAACACCAAGTGATGAAATATCCTGACCGATACTAGAACATTTTTACTGTGATGTCATACATGTCAAGTAGGTCAGGTTTTGCAAAAAGTAAGCAGCCACAAGCACCAAAATCAGCTTCTAAGTAGCATGTCACATGATCAGTGAAAAAAAATCGGGCCTGAAGCTGACCAGTGTATCCTCACATTCTATCAACTCATCTAGTGCTCTAGTAGTCACTTGAATCCAATAGAACACTTTGGGAGTATTTTAATATGGAGGTGGCACAAAATAGTTCTGAAGAATGATAAAACATCTCTGTAGAAATGTATGCAACAACTTTAAGCAATCCTCCATGCCAAGGATACTCATGTGCTTTTTAATAAAATCATTTTTATTTACATTAGAGCAAATAGTTCCCTGTTCAGCTTAAAAGTCTTGTAGCTACATTAACGGGATCAAATTTTGAATTATTTGATATTGAAGTGATGTTTCATAGGGCTGCATTCATTTCTGTTGCATACTGTACTAATTATCTAGTTGTTCTACTCTAAGTAATATGAAGGTTGTTATTACCCAGCACAAGCAGTGTTTGTTTGGCAGCCTCTCGGACTTCCTCCTTGTCTGTCCGACAAAGATACACTAACTGATCGATGCTTTCTTTGGCCTGAAATGACAACAGGTGGAATACAGTGGTCACTGTGATAGAGACACACCGTATTATAAAGTACAGACAAACAGACAGGCTGCATACACACAAGATTTTAAGACAGTTGTTCACATTTTACCACTTTCCTGTTATAAATTAGATCAATATTGGCCTAAAATAGTATTTTAACATGATGGAAGAGCTTCGTACAGGCGTATAAGCTTTGTGTCTGTTTGTACCTTGAGACAAGCTAAGGCCTTGCATCCACAGACTCTAGTGTCCACATTCTCATCTTCCAGCAGCTCCAGACAGCTGACCAAAGCCTGAGGAGGAGAACAAGGACATACTACAAAGTGTACCATTTCTGATAAACAAAGTACAAGACTGCTGGCTTCTGCAGTACATGTACTGCCTAATCTAATGCTGCATTGCTGTAATACCTTTGCACAATCATAATATGGGGGTTCTATTTTATCTTACCACAGAAAAGCTCTCTTCTTGTACAGGCAGCACGTGTTGATATTAGATAACATCAATATAGACAAGACAAAATTGTGTGTTCTCAAGTATATAAACCATGTCAAAATGACACTCTAAAATGCCACACTGACTTCATATCCTGATTACAAGTTGCCCTTTCTGTTATCATTGGGTTCTTCACACTAAAATATTCAAATACCATTAAAATGCTTTTATATTTTTATGCATAACAAATACCAATGAATACCCAATTTTAATCAACTGACATTCTCAGTATTTCAAAATTGTTCAAATGAAGGGAATTTTATAATTAATTTAAAGTATATATTCTTTGCAATATTTTGGTGAAACTCTGTTTGTTTGATCCATCTCACCTGCTCTCTCTGTTTGGGCTGAGCAACCAGGCTTCTGAGTACAGAGCTTGCAGAGGCTGACACTTTGCCCCGTGGGTCCTTCAGTAGTTTGGCCACAGCGTGAAGTCCTTCTCTCTTCAGGCTGCACTCTGCAGGACGGCGCAGAGCTTGGACGATCACATCCTGGTCAAATGACGCCAGACTCTGCACCAACCACACTGGAAGACACAGGCAGAGTATTACTAGTTATTGTCACAGTTTTTTCTGCAGTTATTTAGTTTGTGTGCGTGTGTGTGTGTGTGTGCGCGTGTGTGTCTCTACCCTCTTCTGCCAGCTCAGTGATGTGTGTTTCCATGTCACTAACGCCATTGGACTCAAGGTAACCCCACAGCTGGAACAATGTCACCGTCACTCCGTCTCTGCTGCTGCCTCGCCTTGGCAACCTCTGGTCCAGGACACGCTCAACCAGAGACAAGAACACTGGACAAACACACATACAAGTGTTAACCATGGCACACACACTAACATGTACTGCACACACACAGCTGTTGTCGTACCTGTGTCCGCCCTCTCAGGCAGTTTGCTGGAGTAGACTGCAGAGAGTGCGGCCAGGAAACTCTCAGCAGAGGCACTGTATACACTGCCCTGCCCAGCACACTGTTGCCATAGTGACACAGCACCCACACACTGACCCAGCTGTGGGATCACTGTAAAAGAGAGGGAATGGGACACCATAAAGAAAAAAACAAAGGAAGAAATTACTTTTAAGTTTAATGACATTTTTTACATTTAAGTCATGAAGTTAATTCTTGACCTTGTGTGAAAAACATCTCAACACAAAGGTGCGTTTTTTTCAAAGCTAATGATGCAGTTGGAAGCTTGGAAAAAAACCTAACTTCTTAACTGCTGAATCTCTTAGCCCTTAGCACTAACATCCATTCTACACACAGAAAAACACTGTGTAACCATCCATCCATTATCTATACACCCCTTAATCCTCACTGGGGTCGCCGGGGGCTGGAGTCTATCCCAGCTGACTGAGGTTGAAGGCAGGGGACACCCTGGACAGGTCTCCAGTCTATCACAGGGCCACACTTAGAGACAGACAACCAAGCACACTCATATTCACACCTACAGACAATTTAGAATCACCAATTAACCTCAGCATGTGTCTAGACTGTGGGAGAAAGCTGGAGAACCCTGGGAGAACCCACGCTGCACAGGGAGAACATGCAAACACCAGGAAGTGAACCAGGGACCTACTAGCTTTAAGGTGACAATGCACAACATTTTAATGATGTCAATCCATTTAGCATTTTCTTTTAAAGAGAAGTGTTGCTACAGCAATGATAGATAACTTAAAAATGATCAATGTTTAAAATGATGTACAATTCAGCACTTTACAAAGATCAGCTATTCCCTCTATGGACTATTGTCTATCACAAGGCCCTAAACTTCTGCGTCCGCACGGTGAACGGTGGTTTGCACCGTCACCTCACAGCTAGAAGATGCCCGGTTCACGTCCAAGTTAGGACGCCTGAGATCTTTCTGCGTGGAATCTCCATGTTCTCCCCGTGCAGCGTGGGTTCTCCCAGGGTTCTCTCCAGGTTCTCCAGCTTCCTCCCACAGTCTAGACACATGCTGAGGTTAATAGGTGATTCTAAATTCTAAATTCTCTGGCTTCCTCTGACAGTCCAAAAACATGTTGAGGTTAATTAGTGACTCTAAATTGTCCGTAGGTGCGAATGTGAGTGTGCTTGGTTGGAATTTGCTGTAAATAAACATAAGAGTCTAGTCTGTGTCATGTCTGCTTTGAATGATTGTCGTGTAGAAGTCAGTCTGTCTACTTTCACTTTCTTGACTGAGTGCATGACATCTGCATCCTGAATTTGCTGATGTTTAGTAGAGTCCATTCTTCCCTGTATCTGTGCAATATTTCCTATGCCACTAGCTGCCACACACCCTGCAAAAGCAGGTGTGTTCAGGTGGGCAGTCATTGTCTTCTCACTTCCCGTTACATCGGCTACCACAGTTCCATCACTAACACCATCATGTATTATTTTTTTTTGAGGAGCTCCTCTGCATATGAAGTGATGGCTGCACATTCAGACAGGCAAGCAGCAGAGGCCCAGATAGATGTACAAACACCATAACTCACCTTCAGCAGGTTGTTTGAGGCATTGTGGGTTGTCCTTGGTGATGCGTCGGATGATTTCAAGGACACGAGCCTCTCTCAGTAGTCTGTCTAAGGCATACATCTCTCCACACCGCAGAGGACCAAACATGCCCAGACGCTACAAACAAAATACCGTACATCACTTTACCTTGGAGTTATTTTTGACCCGGACATAGCCATATAAAGCAAGTTTGTAGGACAGCCTTCTTTCATCTACATAATATTGCAAAAATTAGGAACATCCTGGCTCAGAGTGATGCTGAGAAACTAGTCCATGCATTTATAACTTCTAGACTGGACTATTGTAATTCCTTATTATCAGGAGGTCCCAATAATTCTCTCAAAAACCTCCAGCTGATGCAACATGCTGCAGCCAGAGTTCTGACAAGAACCAGTAACAGAGATCATATTTCTCCTGTATTAGCTTCTCTTCATTGGCTCCCTGTAAAATCCAGGACAGAATTCAAAATCCTGCTTTTAACATATGAAACTCTCAATGACCAGCTCCATTGCACCTTAAAAACCTTATTGTACTGTATCATCCTAACAGAGCCCTTCGCTCTCAGACTGCAGGTCTACTTGTGGTTCCAGAGTTTCCAGAAGCAGAATGGGAGGCAGAGCCTTCAGTTATCAGCTCCTGTCTTATGGAATCAGCTCCCAGTTTGGGTTCTGGAGGCAGACACCCTCTCTATTTTTAAGATTAGACTTAAAACTTTCCTCTTTGATAAAGCTTATAGTTAGGGCTGCTCAGGATGCTGTTATGCTGTTGCCAACCACTTGCTCAGAAGGAGTCCAAAGCCTGCTTTGGATTGTTGGGTTCTCTGTTTAAATTTGTAAGGTCTATATCTTACTTTGTTCAGCGCTATGTGATAACATGTGCTGTAAACTGCACTATACAAATAATATTAAATTGAATTGAACTTTACACAACCAGATGTATTTATGTACAGTCATCACCAGAAGAACAACCCTGACACAACTATAAATCTGTAGCATGAATCTGGTCCATCGTGGTCCACCTCTGATAACATGAATATGATACAGTCTTATAACTAAATGTTGTTCAACAAAGAACTGACCAGTCTTATATTATTATTGCACCAAAGGGATCAATAAAGTTCCATTCTATTCTATTCTATTCTATTCTATTAGTTTTCCACAGCAACCACCTTAACAACATTTCATGTTACAACTATCATCACAGTAATGGCTGATAATTCTCCTACATTTGCTACTGCCCCATGCATCTCACCACACTCTCAGACTTAGACTGCTCCTCAGTTACACCCTAAACATGATGACTGTCATAGCCATTACTAACATTAACTTTGTGTTATTGATTGCAAACAAACATGATTAAGCTCTAGATTGAGCATGAACACATTCACACACAGTCACTCAATAGCAACACACACAGTCCACGTCAGCCTACGCAAATCTGGTTCCACCTAAATAAAAATAATACACAACACTGAACAGTCACAAAGCGCACAGCAGCTGCACTGATGGGCTGCAGATATATGAAATAGTACATGTGTATGTATGAACAATCAGTATACTGGTTGACATGTACATGTTTTTCTTTTTTTTTTTTTTTTATCAATTGAAGTATAGGTGAGCTGTTTAGATAGAAATGAACAAATGCAATATCTTTATCTTCTAGTAATCCCCATGGCACTGCTCATGTCCAAGGCAGACCAAGCATAGCAAGCATCGCTGCTAAGCTGAAACTGTGACAGACAGAATTCAAAGACACTATATTACAGCAGCGTGTGCATGGGCAGAAACCCAGAGTGTGGCAGCTCTCTTACCAACAGTTGTGCACTGCAGTTCTTCAGATGGACCACTAGGCAGCAGTCTAGTGCGGTGCAACCTGTGGTGAGGGGGGAGGTGGGGAGGGCGGGGCTGTCCCAGCCTCTGTCCTGCAGAGACCTATACACATACACAAGCATGCACAGTGTCATGGTAGACTTCCCTTAATTAAGTCATTAAAAAATGTAGCAACATCTAAATAAATTTAAATCAGTTTATTATAAACCTTTTGTGTTCCTCCATTTAAAGAACAGACTCTCCACATTGCAAATACATTCATCTGAGATAACAGTACAAAAAAGGGAAAGCATAAGCAAGAAGCAAAAAAAAGACATGGTGGTAAAAATCTCTTTGAAAAATGACCGAGTGAATATTGTTGTTCTCACAGGAAGACGGGATGACTTTCCTCAAAAAACTCACCTTTCAAATATATTTGACAATAACATGGACTTGAGTATTCCAGTTATGATGTGGAAGTATCCTTTTCGCTTTGCGTATGTCAACGTGACACAATTTCTGAAACCTGGGTAAGCCCTTAACCTGGCTTTGAACCTGCATGTGACATGGTATACATGACCTGTGAGCTGTATTACACCCACAACAGATTGCTTAACCAGCTGAACTTAATGCCAGGCTTCATAATGATCTCATATCCTGATGAAATCTGCAGACAATCAGCTTGACAAAGTCTGAATGATGCAGTAAAGCTTTTCCATTTCAGCATGACATTTGAAAGAGTTTCTTCAGCACACAGCAAGGAAGAGGACAAGAGGAGAAACTATTAAAGTCTTAGTGATGTGATGGACATTTGCAATTTGGAGGTCTTCCCTCACACTCATTGCTACAGTCTACTAATGACATCATGTACTGTTGAGTATGTCTGCTCCAGCATTAAGTGAATGCTCTATTCTCACTTCTTTACCTGCTCTCTCTGCTAACATTTGAGAGGGCTTGTGCTGTAACTCTTTACTACTATGAAATTAAAAAGCAAACCACCATTGAAGACTCCTGGAGGGAAAACCACAGACTGATGGAAACCGAGAAACACAGATGAGACTTGTTGACAACAGTAATGAAGGAGTGGAGTAAGGAATGTGATTTTTGTCTCCTTCATTCCTTGTAGTCTATTTTTTGTCTGTTGGTTTTGTGTTCTGTAATGCTATTACTGTTGGCCTAAACGTTGGCAAAACCTTGATGACAGCGGTTTTACAAAACTCCAACTAGTCAATAATTTTTGCAATGTATACTAATGATGGATGCTATGCATTGTCACAAGGCCATGGTGCTTTGTGACTTGGTTTTGTGTGTGTTTTTTAGGGTTTTCCAAATCACATACTTCACAAACTTCAATACGTGCTGCTAGCTGCTCGTACAAACCTCCTACAATTGTATATCGTCAGCCACCGCTGCCCCGCCCTGTGTGGGTGCTGTGACAGACCGACACTCCCTCTGATGAAAATCAAGTACTCACTTTTTTTTACCATGTCCATATGGTGTTTTTTATATGCTGGGAGACACATCATGAGCGAAATAAGCAGTCAATGCCATGACTGAGCATTTCCACCTTAATACTACAGTCTGGAAAACCATATGACTGAATTACAGCTTCCCACTGTATAGTATACAGTAGTTTTTGTTTGAACAGAGTTGTAGGTGAGCTGGTGTGCTTGAGCTAAAGCAAGTTGCAGAGAGGTTTATGGAGATACAAGTCGTCCCCCATTGCTGGCAGTAAGGTGAATATGCCAACTCCACAACGCAATGCTGGTATTTAATAGTGCTGAGACCCTAAAAAGCCAAGTTTACATAATTTTCAATGGCCAAATTCATGTTTACATTTGTAACAGATGCAGCAATATCAGACCAAATTGCCCGTTTCAGTTGCAAACCACACAGGTGCCTTTGCAAACAGCATGTCACCATCATTTACCAAGACACAAGTATTTATCATGTATGTCACTCTATGAATAACCGGATTTGCTTGTTCTGTATGGAAACTTTATATCTTAAATATGAGCACAACCAGGACAATCCATGACAAAAAGATTTTTTTAACTGCTAATAATATTCTGTGGTACTGTGGTGGCACCCTACCTCCACCAGATGGCAGCAGACACCACAGGAACAATAAGATTCCACAACAGCGTAATTAATTATATGTTATTAGGGTCCGAGCACCCAAACGGGTGCGAAGACCCTATTGGAACTGCTCGGATTATTATTATTATTATTATTATTATTAGGGTCCGAGCACCAAAAGGGTGCGAAGACCCTATTGGAACTGCTCGGATTATTATTATTATTATTATTATTATTATTCCCGACAAAGACACGCGTTTTTGAGGCCCTAAACATACTCGAAAGCTCACCAAAATCGCCACGCACACCAGGACTGGCGAAAAATTTGATATTTTAAGAGACTTGGACATGTCACTGCCAAAATGGCTCCACAGCGCCACCTGGCCACCATCGGCCACTAAACAGGAAGTGGCTCGTAACTAGGCCACACTTGCTCCGATCTGCCCCAAACTCGACATGCCGGATGACAGTCCCGCCCGGAGCAGGTTTGCGCCACAACCCGCCGTGCGCGAAGGCCGACAAGCGTAGGGCGAGGACCCGTCCATCGCCGCTTGCAGCTTTAGTT